GAGGTTATATAAAACAGCAAAAAGAGACAGATGTGCATGACCCTCGATGAAGCCAAAACAAAATGTGATGGATTTCCATGTTAATGAGGTCACTGTTAACTCTGGGTTGTGCTATTATGACTTTGCTCAATTTAATCTGATCCTTTTAACATCTTGTCTTGTTCCAATGTTATGACTTACGTCAAACAAATACATTTCAGTTAAATTCTGTTTATATCACTAGTGAAGTGAACTTGCTAATATGGATAGGAAAATCATTCCATCTCTGTTGCTCTTAGTTGCTCATTTTTGCAGTCTTTAATTCAGTTCTTCACATTTCCACATCAGCTTGCTTTTTTTTTTTAAAAGTCATGAAAATGCACCAGCATTTTATTGTGCATTTCCCAGTATATAAATGTTGCCATGCAATTTTGCTTAACACAATGCATTTTTGTATGACATTTTCACCCTTCTCATGCACGCTTTACCCTGGTATATGCATATTTTTTTTTTACACATTACTTACCTCATAGGTTTGCCTTTAAATGTGAACTGAATTGAATTTATTCTCCTTCCCTATCAGCTGCTGCCTGTCAGAATCAGTGCTAATGTGAACTGAACGGTGGTTTAGACAAAACTCACAGTGATGAACTGACTCGAACATTAGGGAAAGGGCTGTAACTCCACGGCAGAGCAAATGATTTGCTTGCACAAGAACCCTGGTTCGATTGCCAACATCTCTAGGGGAAAGCTTTGGGTTTCCCTTGCCTGAAACCATGGAGAGCAGATGGGCTAAGTATAAGTTCCTACGCCAACTCAAAAGCATGGGATAAGTTCAAAAATTCTGGAATCTCCAAGATAAAATACATCTTTGGTTTAGATGTTTTGAGACATGCTGTCAGTCACCATCCTTTTTAGCATACTAGATGGTTCTTTAAACATGGATTGCCAACATGGGGAACAGGCGACATTTATTTGTATCTCTCTGAAGAGAGCCTATGGGCCTACTTCAGATATGGGCCTTAGTATGGTGTGCTATGCTTCATACCACCCAGCTCAGAAAATTAGAGGCAAAACCAAAGTTAGAGGCTTTTGTAGTTGCTAATATTCACACCCTTTGTGTGTGTGTGGGGGGGGGGACCTAGGGAGTAAAATAAATACATTGTGCTAACTTGGTTTACGGCAGATTTGTCAAAAAGGGTGACTGTCATGCACAGATAGATTGCCAAGCCTTCCTTCCGCAACAGGCTGAGGGAAGGGGCATAACCCCATAATGTCATTCATGTGAAATATCAATTACAGTGGTACCTCAGGTTAACTACTTAATTCGTTCCGGAGGTCCATACTTAAACTGAAACCGTTCTTAACCTGAAGCACCACTTTAGCTAATGGGGCCTCCTGCTGCCGCCACGCCGCCGGAGCACGATTTCTGTTCTCATCCTGAAGCAAAGTTCTTAACCTGAAGCACTATTTCTGGGTTAGTGGAGTCTGTAACCTGAAGCGTATGTAACCTGAGGTACCACTGTACTCCAGAAAAAAATAAGGCAATAAATAACACCATGTGAAATAATTTTAGTGGAAAATAAAAAGTGTACTTTCCTTCAATGTATGTTCTGGGTTTACTACTACAACATGGTGGGCACATGCTAAGGTTCTTTTTAAACACACACACACACGTACGCCAATTAATTGCAAGTTATAAAATGTTTTTAGTTGTGCTCATGATCAAAAAGCAGCCTGTGATTTACGACTTGGAACATTTTCACCAAAGCCCAAGAGGTTATGAAAATAACACAACCCGCTTATAAATTGACATGAGCAAGATTTCTCATATATTTATACTCAAACCAAAATTATGAGAATAATTCACATGGAAAACATTAAGAGCTTCAGAAAAATGCTTTCAGTTCCCTGCTGTGGTTATTGGGTCCAATGAAGTACGCAGCAATGGTCTACTGTCAAACTCTTCTGTTTTTCCCATTCAAACATTGATAGATCTCTTAAAACCTTGTATTGTTTTGTAGTCATTAGTCCACAGATTTGCTGACATGTTGAGGTAGTTCAAGGGCATGTCAAAGATGAACCCCAAAATGGCTTGGACCCAAAGGACTGAAAGCCACCTAGGTGTTCTGAAATGTGCAGTTCCCAGTGGGGAGGGAGAAAAACGTCTTCTTTTTTAAAAATCTAACCTCCCTGCAAAACGGACAGAAAACCACAAAGGTAACCCTTGGACCCTGCTTCCCAGCAGGTCATGATATGGGTGGTTAAACAGCTCTTGATTTCACCACCACAAGACCAGGTTTGCATTGCACCCTTAATATGGCAAATTGGTGCGTTTTTAACGCATGAAGCTGTCTCAAATCCAACATACCCTTTCCCACCATATACTTTGCATATATGTATTAGAGCTTTTCTAATTTATACAAAGCCTGTATCATCCTCAAACTGTGGCTACCTGTTGAGATAAGGATATTTCCCAGCAAACCTAATAATGGTATTATGCTTTCACATTGGAGGGTCACCCTTAAATGATCCTCTCACTTGTGTTACATTGAAATTTCTCCTGCATCTCCCCTCCCAAGATTGTTCATCAATTAATGAGAAAGGTAATTGCACTCAAAAATTATCAGAGGGAGAATATCCTTTTTTGGTGAGAATAATCTCAGGAGTCGTGTGCAGGGTATTTGTTGTACTCGCCTTATTTTGAGGCGGCCAAGGAGTGTTTATGAGGAGTGTCATCCTTTCATTCTACAAATCATCTCACCAGTGGTCTGCATTCTGCAGCCTTCCTGACTGTCTGTGCTTCAGTAAAAACCCACGGGGCCTCCTTGAAGACCAGAAAGCACAGGCAACCAGGAAAGAAAACTGGGCAACTTTACTGGAAAGGAAAGCAGACACACCACCCTTAGCAATCTTGTCACAATAAGGTGAGCTCAAAACTCAGCACTCACTGAAATTGTACAAAAATTGTGAATGTAGCAGAAAAAAAGAAGCCTTGCAAGGGAAGAAAACTTTTCAAAAATTGGAAGACAGATTTTAGCACAGCACTACCTCCGACTCTTTTCCTCATCCATAACAAGCAGAGACAAGAAATAGATAAAAATCAATGTGATCTGATGATGATGATGATGACGACCATGGAATACTAGGCAAGTTGTGTGAACCGCCCTGAAACCTCCAGGTATAGGGCAGTATATAAATTCAGTAAATAATAAAAATAATAATAATCGGCAATTCCACCACTTTTTGCCATACATAATTCGGAACCACAAGAATCATGCTGCCAAACCCAGCTCATTGCTAGTGTAAACAGGATCATCCCCATGCTTGCAGATGTCCAAGAGACATGAGCCAAAAACATTTCTTAAGATTTCAAGCATTGCATCTTGGTTAAATCAATATCACAGGGATATGGTGAGGCATTCTGGTTCGTTCACATATATAGCTAGATCAGTTTCCTGACATGGGCTGCACATTTCCAGTAAACATCTTCCTCAATCTGGATTGGGATTGCAGTGGTGTGTGCATGTTTTAATTAGTCAAAGGATTCCCAGTCCAGACCAGCCCCCGCTACTGGGAAAAACATGTATTCAAGGACATGCTACATGATCAATCAATATCATTTTCAGTTTGGAGCCATAGTGTTCAGCTATAGGAGTTGTTATAGTGGCTCATGCGTTTGATGGAAACAGCTATACAAAACATACCCCTGAAGGATTATTCCAAAACATGCTGCTCCCCCCACGGAAAATCCTTTCTTCAGGAACCTGGATCTCCTTCCTCCCCCCACTTCCATCTACCTTCTTGCATTGTACATGGGATCTCCTGGGATCTACTGGGAGATAGAGATGGTACAGCCTGCAGTCGTGCAAAATGCAAGGCTGGTAGGGAAATCTTCCAAACCAAATCATTTCTAATTGGGAGAAGGGCAGGTGAACAGGAAGAGAGGGGACACTTACTTCCAATATTTCAGGGTTAGTTCGGCTCTCTAAACTCCTAGTTGCGTGTTCTCTCTTACAAAGCAGAATAAAGAGCATTTGGAATTGGAAATGTCACAACCTATTTCCACTGCAGAACAACCCCTCTGCTTTAGCAGTCAGAAAGTATTGAGCATTCTCCTGTCCCAACTTGCTGCTCGGTAGATACTGTGTGTGCCTGGCCTGAATGGTGTAGCTGGGAATGTATATAATCTGCTCTTGTAAAAATCAGTTCACTTGAGGGCAAGCACATGAAGTAATCCCAATGCCAGTTTTGCCAAGATCAAAAGGACTTTGTATGCTGATGCTACCATCCCACACAGTCTTTTGGAAGCTCAGGAGCAATTTGGGGAGCAAATATAATAATGCGGTCTGCTGGTCCTGTGCAAACTTCTGCAGAGTTCAGGAGTGGGCTGATTGCCTTGCCTGCAAAGTCAATGGCTGGAATCTGCATACAATAATCAACAACATTCATCTGAGGATAAAGGGATGTAACACCCATGGATGTCCTCAGTTCCTTGATCTTCATGTATTATTATATGCAGATATAGTAATGCCTAGTATAATTGCAGTGAAACAAGATTGGCTTTGGGCTTCCTTTAAAACCTGCTAATGTCAAAGGCATGCTTGACAAAACTATATCTGGGTCCCTTGCAGCTCCCTACAGTGAATTTAAAAACTGATAAAAAAAAGAAACCAGGCCTGAGAAATCAAATTTGAGGCTTCTGGGACAATGCTGTAACCCATAACTGTTGTTTGCATATCACATCATAAAATATGCAGAGAGCTTTCCCTAGCAAAATTATCATATATATATATATATATATATATATATATATATATATATATATATGAGAAATGTGAAGCTGAAAATTGCACTGCACAGCTAACCAACTTCAGTGATATTTTTTTAATCAGATTGAACAAGCAATTATGGTTTATAAAATAAGACAGATAAAAAAATTAATCTGGAAAATACTGTCAACAATTTAATGATATAATATATATATATATACATTTTAATATTAAAAGTAAATTGTAAATGTGTCTTTATAAACAATAGGCATAAAATAGATCTATAATAGTAAAAGCTCTGCCTCTCTTTTTAAAATGCTTTTTCTTCACAGTAATTTCTTAAGTATGTAATATTTTTCCCTCTCAAAGAAGTAGTGCAATTTGAACAACGTACATCATGTCAATGGATTAGAAATTCTACATCCCTTAATACAAGTCTTTGTAAATCTCTTGTAGGAGTGGATGAAGGCTCATATCTGTCTCCGTTTTCTTTATAATTTGCAACAGCTGCACATGTTCTGTTACAATCTGTCTGAGGTCTGTCATTTTCTGCAGCAATTTTGCAAACAGCTGTGATGACTCTGGGTGATTCAGCTTCAACTGGAGTTCTAAAGCTTGCAGCAAATTGTCTTGGATATCTTCAATGGGCTTCACATTTATTAATCCAGGGCGATCTAAGAGGGGAACAAAACAGCAGGGGAGGGCGTTAATCAGAAAAACAGACAAAACCCCACATAGTTGTACAGCATTTCAAGCACATTATCACTGAAATATTCAGATTTCTATTACATCTCAGCTGGGATTTTTGTAGGTTTTGGTTTTCACAGGAAATAGCATGAGGCTGAACGAGGAGATATCCTCCATCTGAGAAATGTTACTGAAATCTGCTCTGAAGGTCGGTGGTTAAAAGAATCTCCTAGCACTGAGATGAAGAGTCCTGAGGACGCTTCCTCTGCTATTTTCTCTGGAAGTGACATAGTTCATATATTCAGATGATGTTGCTGCCAAACTGTTGCCTTCTGGCGTTTTCCCTGTCTTTCCCAAGACTTAGGCTTGTGGTGGCTTTCAGTACAATTGCAATACTAGGCTTGCATGTGCGTCTTGGCAATGTCCTATTAAGGCAGCTGGTTGCAGGAATCATTTATGACGCACTTGGCAACATGGCTGGCACACCTCTTGCACTGACTTGCCTGACTGCGCTCATGGAGACCTTTCAAAATAATAATAATAATTTTATTATTTATACCTTTCCGTCTAGCTGGGTTTCCCCAGCCACTCTGGGTGGCTTACAGCACATACAAAAAAAACGGTAAAACACCAGACATAAAAAATTTCCCGATACAGGGCTGCCTTCACACAGGCCAGCTGTTTGAAAGATGAGCACCTCCAGCTACCTGCCAAACAGCTTTTAGGCAGGGATTTAACCTGCCTTTGCTCTTAGCACAGTCACCACATTCTGTGCCCCAACTTTTTGGTCCCTCCCAATTAAATTTTTCAACAGGTGGTACTTGCCATTTTCTTTTTTAATATTCTCATGTCAGTTATCTATCTATCTATCTATCTATCATCTATCTATCTATCTATCTATCTATCTATCATCTATCTATCTGTCATCTATCTCTATCTATGTATCTCAAACATTTTGTACAAAATAAAAATCTCTGTCAAATGTTCATAGAAAATTTCATAGAAAGTTCTACACATTGCCAGTGGTTTAGCTGACTCACTTTAGGAAATATGGTCACTGCCTATTTCCTTCCATTGTGGAGCAATGAAAACATGTTCACATTCCTTTGCTCACATTTTTCACTTCTCATTTGATTATTTCACTATCTTTTGTCACCAGCAATTTACTTCTAAATTGGTATAAAGCTTTTGACAAAAACAGCAGTCCTTAAAATAATATCTCATTTGCCCCCCATCCGCCTTACATTCTTAGGGGAGGGAACTTCAAGCTGTTGTTCAGCATAACTTCTGGCTTTGTGTTGCGCTTCATTTTAAGAGACGCACGCAAACTCTAATTTTAGAAGCATGTGAGCTGAAAAGATGGTCAAATGCTGATGAATAATGGTGGGAAATATTTGTGTTTGAGACCAACTGCCAATAACTTACTGCTGCCTCTTTTGCTAATGTATAACCTGTTAAACTCACTTAGCCACAGGAAATGACAATTTGATAACCCAAACCTATAGTGTGCACACTCCAAAGCAAAAGTTAATAAGTAAATCAATTACTGAACCATCCAGCTAAATGGAGAAGAGGGGCGTAGCCTGTTTAGGGCTCTTTAATCAACCTATGCATTGGGCACAAACAGGGGAGTGTGCACAGCTTTGCCTGAACGGGATGTACTGATACGGCTTAATATGATCTGTGGTTTTCCAGGGTTCACAGTAAATGCTATGCCATCACCACAAGTAACCACACCAGTTAGTTGCCCCTACATCAAGGTTTAGAGTGAAGGGAGTGGATATTAGAGAAGTATAATTTTCAGGGTAGCTTTAACCTTTTGAGACCAAAAGAAGACCATTTCCCATTTCGCTGGCTATGTAAACCTGGTTGTGAAGAAAGAGGCCATTTCTGTAGCAGTTACTTATAAAAATCCAGAGAAATGGGGAAATAAAGGGCTAGATCAATGCATCTTTATCATTGCTGCTTACTTGAAATTTGTTGCTCTAAGTAATGTGGATCAAGCAATTTTACTACATGCAGGTTTCCCCCCCAAAGTTATGCATTTTTTCTCACTAAAATGACAACAAATGTGATATTTTACTATACAGCTCAAAATGGTGGGGCTGAAAAGGATGAAAATGGTTAGAAGAATGTCTTTTCTAAATGTGGAAGCCTCTTTTGTTCCTCTGCATTTTCTCAAAGTTAATTGTACCTTCTGTTAATCATTGACTTCTGAAATGTTCATAAGAATGATTTTATGTTCCATGTACACATGCAAAATTACTGTGCATTTCTTATCTCTAAGAGAAATTGCTACTGAAAGTCAATAGGTATTTGGCTGAGAACCCTTATCATAGTGCTGGTATGAATCAGGCATGACTCAGGAGTTGCGTGCTTAACCATAATGAGTACAGCACAAATCAGGTTTCAGGCTTAAAGAAATTATCCTCAGATGTACATATGATTAGATGTGTTTCATTTTTCTATGAGATCAAAAGAACAAATTTTGAAAAGGTAAGAAGGGATGGTGGTAGCTGGTGGTTAGGTTCTCATCTCCTCCCCTCCAGCTTGTGAGCAATCTTTAACCATTTCATGTACCGGCAGAATGACAAAATAGGGATTAAGAAACTACAGTTTAAAATAGGTTAAGCATATAAATACTTTACAGATGTGTGTGTACAACACACACACATATAGATTCTGCATAAAACCTCTGTTTTAAAACTGCAGTCTTCAAGCCATTTGTTCTCTCGGATTTTAAAGTGGTTTGTTAATGTGTTACATTATTCAAGTGATTACTGCAATTTTGACTTGCAAACTTGAACAAGAAGCCACCACTGCTATTCATGTCCTAGTGATGTCCAGACTAGAGTATTGTAATGTGCATTTTATCTGAAAGACAGTCTGGAATACATTTAGTACTGTACAGAAGATTTCTATCTGTTACTGGGTGTGGACTGGCAAAAATAAAGCTTTGAAACTGGCATATTATACCTACACTGTTCACAACTTTGCTTACAAGATAAATCAAGGTCCTATTTATCATAACTGCAAGACTAAATGCAGGGAGAATCCTTTCCCCATATGAACTCCTAGGAATCTTAAGGGCAGTCACTGAGAATTTGCTATCAATTCCTTCTTCATAGAAGGCAAAATTGTCACCCTCCAGGAATACAACCTTTTTTGTGGAGGCATTGGAATAGTGGAATGCATTTCCTTGGAAGTTTCATCTATCTTCTTCTTACGTTTTCTTACCAAAGGTAGGTAAACACACATTTTTAATTGTGACCTTAGGAATGTGATGCTTGCTTTTCCGATGTTATTATTTGGTTTCCAAAAAGTTTTTATTAATTGGTGTTAGCTCCACTCTACAAACCACTTGGTGAACTTTTTGAAACTTGGGACAGAAATATTGCAGATTTTAAAAAAATTACATAGTCAGCCATAATGATTCATGGCATTTGGGAAGTGACAAGCTTTCTGGTGACCTTAGAGGTGGGGCAGGCACATTGGGTGGCTTGTGTGGGAGGAAAGATGTAATTTCATTCTCCCGCACTCTGAATGCCACTATCTCCATCCATAAAACCTTAGAAGCTTCAAATGAAATAGATGGGATTCCACATAATCTCATTTCAAAAAGAGGGGATTTCAAAACATTTTATACTCTAGCAGAAAGTGTTGCCTTCAACCTCTTCCCTCACCTTTTCATTCTGATAAAGACCTTATTCATTTTTTTCCAGTAAGCTTGTTGATGTTTAAGTGGGTGAGTATAAGCCTAAGGACTTCGTTATCTGCTAACAAAGGGCAGAATTCAACTAAGTTGTTGTGTGCATGGAACAAGGCACACATGCAGGGCACTATGTGGAATTCCACCCAATGTACCCTTGATATCATGAGAATGGATGATAAACAACATTAATTAAACTGGTAGTGTATTGACTTCAGTGGGTCTACTCTGACTCAGGTAGATCTAGCTCACTGAAAATAAAAATTGCCAAATGAGATACCACATAGAATATTTGGTATTTTGAGGAAGATGCAGACTGTTAATAAGTGCTAAATACCTCTGACAGTTAAATAAACCTTTGTAGGCAAAGGAAGGATATGTATTGGGATATACAAATCAGAAATTTGTACAACTGGACATACTTTATATTTGTAGCTACTAGATCAGCTTCAGAGGCACCGATGACTGAAGTATGAACCGTTTTGTAATTCAGTACTAATATTTATAATTATCTATATTTGTCAAATTATTATTACTTGTAGTTGGGGAGTGAGGCTCACATTAATCAAAAGACTTTAGCGTTATATTATACTGCTAGTAGCCAACATTTAAAATAACTTTATCTAATAGAAAACAAAACATTTCTGAAGTTGTACAAATCCCAGTTTGCAGTCAAATACTGAATTCTATTAAAGCAAATAAGGGAGTTAACAGTATGTTTCTCATTTGTAGACTTTTCATTAATATGGGGAAAACACTCCCAAGACCATTGGCTCATATTATAAAAGGCCCTTTTGGGCTTCAAAATTTCATTGTAGCTATCCAAGAAATATAGCAGGGATCCCACTTGCCTTTAGTCAGTTAATTCAGAGTGCTTGGGGACCAATTTATTCCAAAACCTTTCTCAAGTAAAGATATTCTGACGGCATATGTACTTGATAAATGTGATTTTAGTTAGTCTAATGAAAACACGTCACAGGGCTGGAGTTTCAAGTGAACATGAGAGAAGTGCCAACGAGTGATTAAGCCCTTTAAAACCTGGCCATGTCAAACCATGAAAATAGCGAATGCAGCTGGGAAGCAGGAAAGGAGACAGAAGAATGCACATAGGATTTGCTGGATGGGCTGTGCTTAGCAATGCTAATGCAACTCAGGGGGACAACAGCGGCACTTGGAGGGTGTGGGACGAGTGCCCTCACTCTGGGGATGCTGGTGCTCCTTGTGGCAAGGGACTGCCATTCAGTTGTAGAAAATCCCAGGTTCAATCTCTGGCATTTGCAGCTTAAAGGATGAGTAACAGGTGATATGAAATGGCTTCTGCCAGAGGCCCTGGAGAATTATTGGCAGAGTAGGCAACAAATGAGCATATAGTTTTGCCTGGTGTGTACGGTAGCTTCCTATGCTATATTTTGTGATGAGGCCGTCAAGGTGAGGGCCATGTGCAACAATCTGAGGTAAACCAGGTGCCATGGAATGAAACTAGTACAGTAGTTAGAACGAACCAGGAGGCAAGATTGAGGAACCAGCTTGGTGTCAGGGCTGAAGGGCAGCCAAAGGACACAGAAACACGACAGAGCTCAGGAATACTTGCTGCTCAAGCAAGGGTTAACTTGGACAGGAAGACCTCTTATACTACTTCCTGTCCAACGGCCAGCTTGGCTAGGCAGTCAGTACAAGGCCTGAGGATACCAAGATGCTTAGGCATATGGGCAACATGCAGTTCAGGAGCTCACCACATGGGGCAGTAGCTGCATACAGACCAGAGCAGCTGATGACAGAAATCCCTAGAACTCTTGGAAGATACTTTTAACCTCTCAGGAAGGGCAATTTCATCTTTCATAAAGGCAGATGCTTTATTGGCCTTCATTTATTTCCCCACCCTTTTATATTAAGCACAGTGACCAAAGCAGGAGTGGTGATGGAAGATTGCTCCAAGTGAGACTGCAGTGCCTAGTGGATACTCCTTCCCATTACCCACATCAACACTTATCATGCCAGCAGTTGCATCATGTGTGCCCTAGGGTTTAGAGGGCTGTTTTGCTTCCAGTGGCCTCTGTATGAAATCAAAGGAATATGCAGGTCAATTTAACCGCATACATTCAAAGCACATTTGAAGTACACAGCTACCCACAAAGAATCCTGAGAACTGTAGTTAAACCCTCACAGAACTACTGCTCCCAGCATCCTTAACAGACTCAAGTTCCCAGGACACTTTGGGGGCAGCCATGTGCTTTCAGCATATGGTGTGGAAGTGACCATAGTGTGAACTGGACCTTTGAAGGCAAGAGCCTACTTATCCAATAGTTTCAGAGTTAACCATGAAGATCTCAAGGTAACTCATGCACTTTATATTGCAGCTTACCAGGACTCAGTAAACCCAGCCGCCATTTCCTGTCCTTCAGAAACAGGTAAGGCATCAAGCCCTTTGCAGGGCAAACTATACAGCTAGTGTGCTGAAATATGCATGGTGGCTCAAGGTTCACTCTAGCCCAACGATAACTATGGTTGTGTCACACTTACCTCCACTAAGAATGATGACAGCTATAAATATTGCCAGGTCACTGTCGTCTAATTCCAGTGCGTTGAATTTGACAGCGAATTCAAACTTGGGCTCCATAAAGTCACAAAAGGGTTTCCGGAGGCTCTTCAGGAACTCCCGAGTCATGAACCCTTGACCATTGGAAATGAGAACACCATCTTTATTCATCATGGAGGCAAGGAGTGTGTAGATGATCTCATGAACCCCATATTTCAGGAGAGTTACTTGGTCGTTCAGGTCTAGATTTACAAAACCTGGAATGTTTTTGGCAAATTCTGTGATCTCTTGAACAGCCTCGACGGAACGGAACTGGCAGCGCTGGAAGATACGGATGGCAACCTCTTTATTCTGCTCTTGCATGGGGGTCAGATGTTTGCACTTGATCTGGTCTTCTCCCATCTTTAAGGAATTCATGTCATAAATGACAAATGGCTGAAAAAGGAAAACACAGCTGACTGTCAGGCTTCCTTCCTACATAAAACACACTGTGCTACTGAAACTAGACACACGGAAATTAGGAAGGATGAATCATGGTTCAAGAACAGAAAGAAGTTGACAGGGAATGAGTATGTATTCCACTGGCATACTTAGGGGAGTAATTTTAGAAGTCAAAAGCCTCAGAGAGCAATGAAAGCAAAGAGAGTTAGGATGCTTAAACCATCTGCAAGTGAGCAAATCAGGCCACGACATTTTCCCATGCTTGCAAAGAACCTAGGTTTTTGGAGGTAGGCTGCTTTACAAATTGCTCCATGCAAACAAATTGATTTTTGTTCCCCTAAACAAAGTCATAGTTTCCTTTAAGGTAAAATTCAATTTGAAAAAAGAAGTAAACAGACTAAGAACATTGTTTTTTTTTAAATCATTTTCGAAACACATTATTGTCATTGATTTTTTTTTTTTACTTTAGCCTGAAAAAATAATCTTTTTACAAGAATTCAGAAGGATCGTTAAGAAACTAACACTCTTTAAAGCCAGGATTTAAATTGCAGTACATCAAGTGCTTTCCCTAGAAACACACATTACAAAGCATAGAAACTGCAAATTCACAGTGGTGTCATAGTCTAGCAACAACAGCTAGGAAACTACTACGGATGAGACTGGACCCAATTATCTCAGTTGAAAATGTATGAAAGCTACCTCAAAATAGTTCATTTCAACCGAAATGCAACAATTGCAAGGTTACAGAAATAATTTCATTTGAGATAACTGAGGATAAATGTGATCAGTTACGCAGTACATAACTGTCCTAAATGTACTTAAAATGTGCATCACGTATAGCCAACATATTGCTCCTCAGATGTTGTTGGATGGCAACTCTCAACAGTCCCAATGGCCAGGGACTTTTTGTAGGACAGCTACACTGATATTTATATATTTCATTTTTGGATCTGAGAAATACTATACCTCATTTCCTTGGTTACGGGACATTTTTAAAATTCAGTTCCCTGTAAATAAATTTTCCCTATACCTTGGGAAGTATGAAGATTCTGCAAGCAGAGACATCTCATTGATTTTCTAAATATCCCCTTCAGCTCTCTAAAGCACTTCAAGACTTATTCTTATCCATCATGCCAGCAGTATATTGAATATTCTGCTGATGTTGGGGGTCTTTCACAAATTCATACAGCCCCTGTAGCTTGTGGATCTTCTGTATAGGGTTGCATCCTAAACCATTGATCCTAAATGCACAGAGGAATTTAGTATTCTGAAGTATTGATATGTTTGAAACATTAGGCATGGGAAACATTTAATCTGGGTTTCCATAGACTTACTGAACACTTCAGTACAATGTAACTACAGTATTCTGAATATATTCTTTCAGAATAATTGTGGTTTTTCAACCACCGCTGAAAAATTATTGTGCCTGAGGTTAAACCAGGTACATTCTGTGATATCTGATCAAAGATGGCTATTTTACATTATGTTTGTGATAATCAAATAAAGAACATGGGTATGTAGAACTCATTTGTTCCATTATAATATACTGGGCTTACAGTTACAAATGGTAAAGAGAAGGCACAGCTGCAATACCCACACCACATTAATTAAACTGGACTGCCAAGTAACTATTTAAAAACCAAGGCTTTCTTATTCACAATTATTCTCATTTATAGACATCAAGTTGAGTTGCTATTCCGGCAAACTCAAGCAACGTATCATTAATGACATCTGTTCCTATTCACTGCTCTGTTACTTGGATGAAGATATAGATATAAATGTTAGCAACCTATTAAATAAGATGCTCTGTTCTAAGCAGCATGGAAGAAAGATATTTCACAATAGCCAAGAAAATGTTAAATGAATGTTTCAATTCAGTAAGGAAACATGCAGTGCTGGTGTAGCAGGAAGATGCAAACTGGTGCAAATTGGAGAGGCTGAAATGGACTCTGTAACTTGCAAGTTTATTTTGCCATAGCCAGTGAGAGCAGTACATTCCAGAGAAAGGCTGGTTACTTAGTAATTTTAGACTGCACAAACTACTAGAGCATTACCAATCATTTACATGTGACGCAGATGTGGGCACAATTAAAACGAGGAACATAACTTTAAATTGTGTCCATAGTAAACATTTTGACGTTTTCAGAACACAAAGTCCATTACAGTACAAATAATAATAAAAGTTTTACTCATTATTTACTGAATGAGCGCATTTATTCTTACTATAGTGCTTTTAAAGTGTGCTTGAGAAAGACCATTTTACAGGGGGTTGTCTTTTCATTTATAGTTTTATGCTGGTAAATTCTACCCTGGTGGCAGGTTCTTCAATGTTCAGAGACAAACAAGATCACATGAGCACACCCCATATAAATTGCATGAGCAGTGCATTAGCATGACGTTCAAACACCACAAAGTCACTTACATGGTCCAAATTAACTAGCTCACCTTAGCTCACCAAACACAAGATCACTTGGGCAAACTGAACCCTGAAAGCTTTTGCAAATCTTGCAAAAATAACTACCGTAGGGCTATTAGGGATGTAACAACAGTTCTTCAAAATTGACTATTGCACTTGGGCTCCAGTTGTCAAACTATTTCCTTAGGAACAGTGTGGAAAGGTTTTCTGAGCTGAAAATAAATAATTTTTAAGATGGGGAAGAAAGGAGAGTATCAACTAATATTAGATGTATGCATCACTAACTGTGATGCTTCTTTGATGTAACGCCGAGTACCCATGGGAGTAGCCAGTATTGATGTGGGGGGGGCGCAGAAACGGGCCCCAAAAGGGCTTTGCCCCCAGGAGCTGGTGCTCCTGGTCTGGTGTCTGCCACAATCAGATTATATGGGGCATAGATTGAATTGCTTTGCAAGGGGCAGAATGCAGTCACTGTTAGGCACCAATTTTGGTGTGCTACATATATGTATCAGTTTATTATTATTATTATTATTATTATTATTTTAATCCCAACAAAAAAAATCTGACTGGCAGAATCCGAGACCAGGGAGAAGAATTGGTGGAAGAAGACTGGAAAAGGTTTAAGGACTATTTACAGAAATATTGTAAAATTAATGAATGTTAGAAAAATGTTGGAATGAAATTATATGGCTTTAGTAGAAATGTTATAAGGAAATAAGTATAAATAGATTAATAGAGTATTAAAGGAAAAATAAGGTTAGAATGTGTTAAGATAATTATAGGATAGAAAACAGAGGAAGATGGAAAGGAATTGCTGAAACAATTAACAGAAGTGGAATACAAAAAGGGAGGTGTGAGGAGGTCGTGGAAATAAGTGAATGAAAGATAAGATATTGAAATTGTTTGATTTATTTTAAACTGTTTTTGTTTTGTTTTGTTAGTTTAATGTGTTTAATGTGTTAATGTTATGTAGTGTTTTTGTATTGTATTGTATTGTTTTTGTAGTGTTTAAATCGTTGGAAAAGCAATAAATATTAATTAAAAAAAACACACAAAAAATCTTTAGCATTTTTGTGTGCATTTTGCACAATATACATAATTTTGTCCAATATATATGCTTTTGCAATGACTTTCACTTTCTTATGTTATTTTCACTAATGCATACATTTTGATGTACAATTTCCACCAATGTCCACTTTTTTGTACAAATCATTTGTGTACAACATGCCTTCTGGAAGTGTGAATTAGGTACTCTAAGCCCTCAACTTACAAAGGGGTTATGTTCCAGGGATCAAGCCTAAACCCAAAATTTTGGGTGGGATTTTTCCTGGATGCCTGGGGCGGTTGTTGTTGTTGTTTTACAAAGCATGTAAAGCTGAAAGTGCGCAAATTAAATGTTATGTAAATTGTGGGTATATTAAAATGTGAACCAAACAGAATTTCTTCCCCGTCCCTATTCCATGGTACATAGAAAGTGCTTAACTTTGTTTGGATTGTGCCAACCCTATCTAAAGAATCAGATGCAATTCAGATGCAATCTAGATAAGAAGAACCTACCACTCATACTGATTTACAATCTCTTACATCTGAATACTCCAAAGTTGCAAAGGAGTCTGCAATGTCTGCTGTTGTCCAATACACAACAGCACAATAAAATGTAATGGCATGATCAAACATGTTTAGGGCCAATTCTGTGCATAAATTAACATAACTGACTCTGTAAAACAAAGGAAGAGGACAATGAAATCCACAATATTCTAGATAAGCCTAAAATAGTTTTATGGTGTCATAATGTGGATTGTAATGCTGCCATGTTTTATAATACAGTAAAGTCACACACAGCAATAGATGTTATATACAAAAATGTTTCGTTATGTGCTTTGATTCTGATTTCCTTAATCCTTCCCATTGCCCACTTAGAATCATTTAATACTTTACATTGGCTTCAGAATCATATTTCTGGTGGTCAGTTTGTTAGTGCCGCTGCTTGTATAGCCAAACAGCAACACCCATGCAGAACAGGGAGGTATCACAAGGCACTACAAAAAAAATCTGTATTGCTTGTTTTTGGTAATGAGTAAAAGGGTGATGAAAACGAGTTTCCTCACCTTTTTGTGGCAGGAATGTTCAAAAGGGAAACAGTCAAGTTCAGTGCAGTGTCCCCATTCAGCAGCTTTTAGGGTCATTGGTGGGCACAGAGCTTTGCTGCTTCAGACTATGGGATGCAGGGACAAAATTGGGATTGCTTTCGAGGTGAATCTGTATCATCTACCCGGAGTTACAGGGTCCTGGGTGGTGGCAATGCAGGAAGGCCTGCTTACTTGCATTTTGGGTGTGGCCAGGGCAAGGGAGTAGGCCAACTATTTTCTGTTGGCAGGTTGTTAACCTGTTGGCTGCAGGCTTGAATTGGCTTGCTAAAATTCATTCTTTCTCTAATGGTTTTTCCCTCTGCAGGTGGTTTGTGCTTAAATAAAGGGGTCTGTAGTTTAACTACCGTTAACTATAGTTAAACTACAGGTTTAACTGTAGGGGTAGGAAAGCTGAAAAATATAAACGCCCGGCAACTAATGCATCTCTTTCGTTTCAGATAGTATGTGGGTCTAAAAAAGCCCAGGACACAAATTTTCACAGCCTTCTAGCAGCTATGGTGGTAATGTATTTAGTGTTTACTCTGGAAGTGTATACACGTGTACCTTGGTTTTTGAACAGCATAGTTCACGAACAACTCGGAACTCAAACGTCACAAACCTGGAAGTAGGTGTTCCAGTTTGCAAACTTTGCCTCAGAAGCCGAACGTCCGGTGCGGCTTCCGATTGGCTGCAGGACACTCCTGCATGCTTTGGTTTCCAAATGTTTCGGAGGTCGAACGGACATCCGGAACACATTATGTTCAAAAACCAAGATACGACTGTACTCGATTCTGACCAAACTAAGCCTCCTGATTTATATTTTCACAAACCCAAGCCTCAATCCTAATTCCTAAAGATACAACTATGACTGCCCAAACAAAATAGTTTTTGAAACCTGATGAAACCCAAGCCATTTGTCTTGATACTGCAGTTTTTTGTGGTAAAAGTACTTTGAATATTGCTCAAGAAGAGTTTTCTTGCCAGCAAGGGCTTTCCTATACCGAGCTGCAACCCAATTAAGTACATCTTAAATCAATTGATCATGAGTTTTAATTGCGTCATTGATTGTATTGGTTATACTTGCATAAATCCAAAGCTCGGTTGGGGTGAATGTTCCTTAAGCAATATACTTCCTTTGATTTTAGACCAGGCATAGGCAAACTCGGCCCTCCAGATGTTTGGGGACTACAACTCCCATCATCCCTAGCTAACAGGACCAGTGGTTAGGGATGATGGGAGTTGTAGTCCCAAAACATCTGGAGGGCCAAGTTTGCCTATGCCTGTTTTAGACGATGCACCTATGCAGAGCAGTGAGTATTATCTTAGAAAAGGTGTGTGTGAGAGAGAGAAGGGGGAAGATGCATCTAGTTTTAAGACAGTGCTTGGCACCTGCAGTTTTACAAAGCACTTGCAGTGAGAAATAACCAGAGCTCTATGAGAGGATAATTTTAACGATGGGTGAAGCTCCAGAGGTAGAAAGGCCTGTCCTCTTCTTTTAAGTCGAGACAAGAGTGAAGCCTGTTGCAGGCTGGAGCCTTGAGTACCCCACTGGAACAAACACAGTGCCTTAGATCACAAATGGAGCAGTCATTTTAGAGATTTTTATCAGTAAAATAAAACCTCTCTTGTGAGGAAAAAGAAATACATGAGCTGACTCAAGGTGCACAATTCGAAGAAAGAATAAATGCTGGATTTTAGTATAAAGTGTTACACTCTGCAAAAGTCTGGTGGCAGTACCAGCATGAATCACAAGGAAGGAAGGCCAGAAGCGACATTTGCCTAGGAATGGATCTTTAGGGACCTGGTCTGCATAGGCAGCATACGATGCTCAGGATGTTTGAAATAAGTATTACAGCATCTTCTCTACTGGATAGCCCGGCTGGATTAATGTGGGAGATAACCTATGGAAAACAGGGTGACGGAACAGGAAGAAGTGGGGCTCAGCAAGTCCAAAAAGGTTATGCTGACCTTCGCATTCTTGTACTGCATTCAAATATTTTATTAGGTTATTCAAATAATGTTTACTTATCCTATCTAAAAACATTTCCTGTGTTTCCTAGCTTGAAAGATGTAATTGCCAAATGCAGGAGGCTTTAAAAACAAACTAACATAAAATACTGATCCGTTAGTATGGTAAATCATTTGCCCGAAGAAGAGAATAGGAAGCAGAGAGAACTAACCGATTTGTCTGTTGCCTTTCCTGTCAAGATCGCCCTCGCCTTGGCTTTGGTTAGCGGGAAGGACTTGATGTATGAATCATACAGGAGCTTGGCAAGGGCCCGCAGGTCAGCAGACTCGGGATTTAGCTGGTCGATATCACTTGAAATCTCTGCCAAGAGCTTCTCCTTCTCAGCCTGTGGCATTCGCCCAAACCGGATAGCTGAAGAAAGGAGAGCAGGGAAAGGAAAATGTTACAACAGGAATGAAGCGCAGCTAACATGCAATTGTAAAACTCTTTGCAAATGCTATTTTTATAGGGAAAGTCTTCTTCTACAGCTTTTCAAGATGGATTTTTAAATAAAAAAATGGGGAAAGTGCATTATAAAGAATGGAAACATATTGATAAACCCATAAAATGTGCAGGCCGTGATAGAGCTTCATAGACCAGTTCCTGAGAGCAACTGGGTTTGGCAATCTGAGATCACAAGCCTGCAACAAGTGGTGTGGTTATTAGGAAAATTTAGAGGTATTTTGTTCATTCGACTAGAAGCCTGAATAGAGAGGCTCCAATTCATTTCAAGGGCATGTGTATTCGGCAGTTGGGTGGCCAGGTGACTGGTGTTGCCAGCGCCTCATGATTAGGCTGGCCTTCATCAGAGCTGTCAAATCTCAATACATCAGTACCAATAAACAAATTTAAGCCTCTCTGAATCTTAAGCGTCTCTGAAAATAAGTCTCTTGAAATAAAGGAGGGGAAAGTGGGAGGATGAATTGTGGCCAGGCTGTGGGAGTATGCTAGATTAGACATTTGATAAATGAGGTGTGCACCATTATCTCCCTATACACTGCACAGCAACTTTGCACAGTTTCCAAGAGCCACTTTTATTTATATATTTATTTTTAGTATGTGAGCACTCAACACACCCTTGGTTACATCATGTTGCTGGGTCAGAAGCAGCATTTTCCTCACACCTGGAAAGAGCCTCCGATGGCCCCAAACACAAGGAAAACTTTGATCAGCAGTTTGCTTCAGTGCTTGTCACCGGGGATGGACACTGATTTATTTCCACCATAGTTTGCTTTCAGTGAACCCTGTTCCCAAGAAGAAACACCTCCCGGATCTCCAGCCATTTCAGTCTGGGTACTTTTGGGATCAATTCTTCACACCACTATCAGAACTGAATGGGGCCTAGCAGTTCCACAGGGAGCAGAGGCTCTCTCAGTATAGTGTAAATTTAGACATCTTTCTGAAAATATCCCCTCCCTACGGTTTCTTCCAATAGAAGCCTTTGAATAAATGGCCTACTGATATTTGCTTTGGACTCCAGCATGCAGTATGCTTTTCCCCCTGCGCAGACAGCCTATACATTTCATCAATTGCCAACAACAGTTGCCAGTGAGAAATCATTGTCAAGCTGCCTGACGCTTTGCTGTTGGGAGGAATGGTTTACTGCGTATCCTCAAGCCTCATACATTACCCCAAAGCCTGCATGTGGAAAATCTCAGCATCCAAATAGGTTGATTTTGTTCTTGCTGGGTGAATTTGTACATGCATTATGTCTGTGATCAAAGTGTTGGATTAAAAGACATAGGAAACGAAAATGTAGCCCTTAGTCTATAGACTAGGGGTAGCTAACCCATGGTCTGTGGGCTATGTCTGGACCCAACAGGATTTTTGAGGTTACCAAGACCTCTAATATTCTGGCTGAATTGTCCCTCAATTTAGTGCTGCAGAGCGCCCACTGTGGTGTTGTGGGTCATTCACTAGCACTCCAAACACTGAGCACCTCTGCCTCAATTTATCCTGCAAAGTCGGCTCTTCTCCCTCTGAAGCACCACCATTGCAAGGAGGTCTTAGTGCTCCGGAAACAGTGAGGAATTGTCAATGTGGGGCTACTTTGGAATGTTTTGCAGTTTCAGCTGTATGTATTCTATGTATCTTGAAGAGCTGTGTGCTTCCCTTCCTAAAAGTGGCGACGGTATTATTTACAGTCTTCATTTCTACCACACATTTCCATGTACTTAGGCTTTATAGCCCTTAATAGAGCAGGCAACTGACAATCCCTGTGTTCCTAAGCTGCCCTGCTGTGTTTGCCTGCAATAAACTCACAGTAAAGCACATTACACCTTTAACAATCTGAGAATTTCCTAGGTAAGTGCTATAAACCTCAAGTGCTGGAGGTCAGCTTAAGTTGCATTGTGCCATGTGGCTTCCCTTCTCAAGTCATAGAAAGCAACTATAGATGATTGACAGGATGTGATAGCTGATGGAAAATCCAGGCAATCAGGCTATCACCCTAAAATGGCAAGTCCTCGTATGGAAAAATATGGTCAGGTTAAAATTATGTTGTTGTATTCAACAATATATTCAGGTTCATTAGGAATATGAATAAGAGTTTTGGCACAGTTGAGTTGAAAATTTGTTATAACTTTCCCGTTGTTTATAAATAGTCATGAATATAATTTATTTTAGTCAATAACTAGTAGTTTCAATGCTACGCTATTTTCTGAACACCCAGTGGAATTGATACATCAATCCAGGCTTCCTCAACCTCGGCCCTCCAAAAGTTTTGAGACTACATTTCCCAGCATCCCTGACCACTGGTCCTGCTAGCTAGGGATCATGGGAGTTGTAGGCCAAAAACAACTGGAGGGCCGAGGTTGAGGAAGCCTGCGTTAATCCATACAAATGTAGAAAAGTCTGATCTTTCATGATTTTATCATTTTGCTAACTATGTGTGATGTTGTGGTGAGATCTTGCACTGAAAATCTGAGGTAGCACATTTATCAGTATCCTTGTAACTCCAAATAGTGAAGTCACAAACAATTTACACAGTGTTTGCTCTTCCTAGCAAAAACATACAATAACTGGGAAGCATGTGAGGAGAAAGTTAACCTGTTGGATAACTAGCTAGCATGAAATGGGAGGCGTATTTATCAGTGAGGGTGGCATTTGGTATTACAAAAGGCACAGGCCTGTAGCTGAAAATGGCAATCCATTTTCAAGTACTGTACTTTCCCTTTTCATGTAACATAAAACTTACTCCAGTATTATTATACTGTGTTTCTTCATGTCCTTTGACAGCAGCAGCTAAAGTTCTAGTTTAGGGACAAGGTTAAGTAAGTTGTACGACAGTGTTTGCATGTCACAGCAATAGTACTATGTAAAAGTTTACTATGTAAAAGTTTACTATGAATGCACAGAAGGCTCCCGCTTTGTTCTTGCTCTCTAGCAAACAAGGGAAACACATCAAAATCCCTGTTATATACAAACAAGAGATCACAGTTTCTTGTACTGATAATAAACTACCATGCTGAGCCAAGGTTTGCTCTTGGCTTTCCGGTCACAGCCTGCTTGGAGTGAAACAAACCACAATCCCTGGCTCGGACATAACACTAAACCAGGGATTGTGGTTTGTTTTCTTTGCCGGCTAGAGAGGAGGAGGAGGAACATTGGAGTGATCTCTCCATGCAAAGTGGGCCACTACAGGGGAGCGGAGACAGGGTAACTTGAAACAGGGTTGCAGATCCTCCCAGCAGCCACATGACTTGCTTAACAGCTAGCTTTGTCTGGAGTAATATTATACGCCATGGGTTGTAGTCAACTAATGTTTATTAAGGGTAGACTCGTTAAAAATAATTGACCTAAGTTAAAAATGGCCCCTGTTGTCAGTGGGTCTGCCCTGATTAATAGTTAGCTGACTAGTTAAAGGTAAAGGACCCCTGGGCAGTTAGGTCCGGTCGAATTCGACTATGGGATGCGGTGCTCATCTCCGCTTTCAGGCTGAAGGACCTGGCATTTGTCCATAGACAGCTTTTCCGGGTCATGTGGCCAGCATGACAAAACCACTTCTGGCGGAACGGGACACTGTGACGGAAACTCTGTTTACCTTCCCGCCACAGTGGTACCTATTTATCTACTCACGCTGGTATGCTTTTGAACTGCTGACTACCACCCTTAAGCTCTCGTCTATCCTGACAGTCAATATACTGATCAGGATGGGCTTGTGTTGGCAGTTGTGGTGAGCTGTGAATTCAGCAGCTACACGTCTGTCTTCTTTGGTTCAATGATACATGGGTGTAGACAGCAGAAGGAGGGCAGGCATCAGACTAAACTTCATCAGATGGTAGAACAATGACAATGACATTAACTCTGGATGAGGCAGAAAGCTCATCCTATATTCAAGGGAAACATCAGCACCTAGTTCCCACTCACAATGATGAAGAAACAGCCTAGATCTACAGTCCACACTGAAAGACAGGGAGCTATAAGACAGCTGCAAGAATTGGTGCAACATACCAAGGAGACGGAGATATAAAACTACTGCCAAATCTTTTAAAGAATTGCTACATTTTTCATTCTGATTCCTAGTATGAAGCATAGGTTTCAGCGGGAGTCACTGTAATTTGGTTTTATCTTTTAAAAGCTTTTCTTAACAAGAGTGAAAGTCTAAGAAGTTCTACAAAAATATTTGTGAAGGTTTTTGTCCTTAAAAAAACAAAACACAAAATCATATTTGAGAGAATATTTATCATAACAATTTGTTTGTTGGTATTAGCATACCAAATTAAGATTTCCTTTTGGCGTCAGCAAACTGCATTTTATTATGAGAATAACAAAAACCACACTGACTATATTTTCCCAGTCATGCCTGCAATTCTTTTCTCTTTGAATTACATAAGTCTTTATGTTATGACATTCTATTCCTGTTTTCATCTGGCTTTGCCAAGGAAAGTCTCCAGAATCTTCATTATAATTTCTTCTCTCAAGGATTAGGATGTTAGGTATTTTCACATGAATTTATAAAGATAACCTTAAAGGACAGAGAGGATGTATTTTAAACTGTCCTGCGTCAGCACACAAAGTCTTGGCTTGGACCTCACACAACAATAAAGACTAAGCTATCTAAAACTGTGGTCATTAAGGGTGGGAGTAGAAGACCACCATCTTTCCAGATGTTGTCAGTCTCCAACGCCCATCAACTTTAGCTAACTAGGCCAATGGTCAGGGATGATGAGAGTTGTAGTTCAGCAGCATCTGCCCACTGTGGGAACGGAAGATTTTCAACACATAATAGTGGGGGTGGAGGCAGAGAAGATGCTCAAGTCCTTTCCTACCCACCACCTTTCCTACCCACCACTTTTCTACAACTCCCCAAATCAATTTCCCCCCACAGACTTCCATACTCAAATTCACAGCTATATATGATAGAATTTGAGGCACCGATGACAAATAGTCCACTCCTCATGTAGTATATATTTTTTTATCCAAATGTGTGGTACCTGTGCTGTCCATTTTTTTTAGTAACCTCTATATTGCGGGTGTCATTGTGGACACGGGTGGCACTGTGGGTCAAACCACTGAGCCTAGGACTTGCCGATCAGAAGGTTGGCTGTTCAAATCCCCATGACGGGGTGACCTTCCATTGCTCAGTCCCTGCCCCTGCCAACCTAGCAGTTCGAAAGCACGTCAAAGTGCAAGTAGATAAATAGGTACCGCTCCGGTGGGAAGGTAAATGGCGTTTCCGTGCCTGCTCTGGTTTGCCAGAAGCAGCTTAGTGATGCTGGCCACATGAGCTAGAAGCTGTACGCCAGCTCCCTCAGCCAGTAAAGCGAGATGAGCGTCGCAACCCCAGAGTCGGTCACGACTGGACCTAATGGTCAGGGGTCCCTTTACCTTTACATTTATATTCCATGTATTATCTTGGAAACAGAAGGATACAGCTTATTTCTAAATGTATGCCTGAGATACCATGATGCAATAACAACAGAAAACAGCAGTAGTGATGGGAACTTAAAGAATGATAAATATTGCTTGTGTACAACAGGCACGGCACATAAATAACAGCATATCGCTGACAAATGCAGATCTCAACCAGCTGTTTGGCTTGGTGAGCATGTTTCTTCTTCTTTCTGGAAGGAACTTTGTGCTTGGGCTGCTGTGTGAAGCAGCACTTAATGGTTCTGCTTCAGTTTTTGTGATTGCTGGGTTTCAAACAGAGCTCCAGTAACCACAGTGGGCGTGTATCCTAGGAGCAACACTTCACATCATACTCTTCCCTACTCAAAGCTCTATCTGTGGGGTCACATAGAAACTATTCGCCTGTGTGAGCTGGCCCTTGGGCTCTCTTTATTTTCAGCCATACACCTAAGTTTGTACATGTAGCTTGTGGGTACTTCAGGATTCATTACTGTTGCTTGAGGCTCAAATGTCTTCAGTGCTGTGTGACGTGCCTTCCATCAGATTCAGCTGTGGGCCCTGCTACACCCCTATCTGGACAGGGATAACCTAACCTCTGCTGTCTATGCTCTGGCAACCTCGAGGTTAGATTACTGCAATGCAGTGGCGTAGCGTGGGTTGTCAGCACCCGGGACAAGGCAAGTAATTTGTGCCCCCTAACCCGTGGATTTGCGCCCCCTAACCCCCAGATGTTGCGCCCGGTGCGGCCGGCCCCCCCCGCACCCCCCACGCTATGCCACTGCTGCAATGTGTTTTACATGGGGCTGCCTTTGAAGATGGTTTGGAAACTGCAGGTGACACAACTTGTTTATACATCAAAATATGTCATAATGCCAAACTACTGGAAGAAGAAGAAGAAGACGACGAAAGCAATATTCTCACCGTTATGTGACATTCCAACTGCAAGGCATTTCTGGAATCTGCAGTACTGACATTTATTTCTGCTTTTCTTATGAATGCGACAGTTGAGATCACACCGATCATAGATTAACTTTAGCCGGATTGTTCTGCGAAAGAAACCCTTCAATGGGCATGAAGGAATGGGGAGAAAATATTAGTTATAAGGAGTCTTCCATTGCTTCCTGCCTTATCTGTAAAAATGAACATCTATCCATTTATTCCGGAGAGACCTGTGCCACAATATGTAAGGGGAAATTATTCACATTACAAACAACAACCCATTGCTCAGAAGTTCAAACAGAAGAGTGCAGTATTTTATAAAATATATTTACTTAAAATAAGGTTGTCTTGGTTTCAATGGATGTTTCCATCAGTGTTTTTTCTCTGGGGGGATGCAGGGGTATGCATACCCCTAAACATTTTGTGAATCTAAGTTTGGCCTCAGTATTTGGCAGTATTTCAATATAAGTAGGAAAATGAGAGTACCCCTAAACATTTTTTTTTAAAGCACTGATTACCATCACAAGCATGCAGGCTTGGAGGTAGCTATGATTAACACAACTACAAGTTACGAACTTGTTACATGTAGGATAGTAGAAAAATATTGACTTTAGGTGTAACAATTGTTTATTTTATTGATTGTAACTTTGCAAAAATAATATCCTAAATAGTAATTTGGAGAAACAAGTTGGGTTAAATTATACCTATTTTTTAAAAAATATTTACAGCGCTGTTTTAAAGAAATGCATTTCTGTCATTTGAAAGACTATGTATGACAAAAAATAATAATAATGTTATAGCTTGAACAGTTTTGGACATCTTGTGAGAAGTGTGATTTCTGTTTATTTGGAGGCCCTTGAACTCCTACCTGAAGATGCATTTTGTCTCCTTAGAATATTATGATTCAGCTTCCATTTCAACTAGAAATGGAAGGCATTTCAGCTTAGAAATCAGCTTAGAACAGATAAAATATGTGAAAGTTCCATGTCCTGTTCAGTCATCAGAAGCTGTGTGATCTCGCATCTCAGATCATGGCAAAGGAATAAATGTTTTGAAATGATAGAAAACGTTTTTAAAGGGACAAATTTAACTGAAGACTGCCTACCTTGCAGCCTTCACATGCATGCACTCCGTAATGGAATCCAGACGCTTTGTCTCCGCAAACCCTGCATTCAATAGCCATTAGAGAATTGGAGGTCTCTTCATGAGGTTTATTGTACATCTGCACTTTTTCTGAGAAGTATGGTGGAGAAGGAGGCTCCATCTTGATTTCATCTGAACAAGAGAAAGAGTTTTAAAGGGGAATTAACTGTAATCTTGAAATGTTTGTTAACATAGGCAAAACTGGCAACAGATCTATCTAGTTGCAATTAGCAATCAATAAATTAAATGTACCTATGAACCAGCCACATCTAGCAAAGGGCTATTGAGAAGGTATTAGGTCAACAGCCTGAACTATGAGCTGGGAATGTGTGGGGCAAATATCATTTCAGTCATTAACTCAGTGGCGTGCCTTGGACAAACCATTGGCCAGGTCAGGTGTCATAACCAAATCATGGTTTTGCCCTCAGAGTCACACACCCAATTCTTCCTATACCTTCTCCTCTCCACTCCGATCATAAACATCTTGGCTGACAATTTGTACAGCCTAGATGTTACAGCAAAGTATAGCTGCAGTAATCATAGTTTGCTGTGACATGAAACCTGGAAAATTTTTAATTGCCACAAATCATAGTTGGCCTCTAAACCAGAACTGGATATCTCATTCAAACAGTAGTTTCAACCGAGGTAAACATACAGGGTTGAAGGCCTGATCAGAATAAAGACATCCTAGTTATATACATTTAGATAAAAATGTAAATAGACTATATACTATGTTTAGTTTAAACAAATGGGGAGAGCTTTATGTTTCAGATACACTATTGAAAAGGAAAGATCCATAAACCCTTCCCAATGGCTAAAAGGAACCAAACATTTGAAATCTGACATACTCTGGCATTCTTGAAACTTCACGTCATATTTATAGTCAACAGCCATCTGATCAGTTCTTGTGAGAGGAGGAAGGTCCTCATAATGTTGAGAAGAAAGGCTTGAAAAATCAACTGTAGTGAAAGGCTTTATATCAAAGGAATGCGAGTGTTCATCCATCCCAGAGAAGTCCACTGGGCTAATTCCAAAGTTCATGGGCCAAAACGGCATTTCTGTATCAACCATTGTAAACCCTGAAACAAAAGAGAGATGAATGAGAGATTTTTTGGGGTGGGACTACATGAATATAGTTCCTTAATTAAACATGGCCAACATAAAATCAATGTAGTGGGAAAACAGTAGTAGTAAAAAGAAGATGAGCAAAATGGATGCACAGAAAGTAGGGATGGATGGATATATCAATTTCAGTTTCTAATGTTTTCAGTTTTAAAGTCCAGGTCTCTGCATTTGCATATCAGAAGTACTCCTGAAAATTCACCAGCGAATTTCTACTAATATACACATATTGGTATGCAGGTTTGCCTAACATATACATTTCTGCAAAGCAATTTCCTCTAATACAGTACGTTAGAATAATAGAATCAGAGTTGGAAGGGATCCTGAGGATCATCTAGTCCAGCTCGCTTGATAGTATTTTCAGTAATATATAGATTTTGATGCATATTTTACTCTAGCAAATGCGTTTTTGTTGACGTTACTTGGTAGGTGATCTGCATTGCAAAATTTGAAGACATGCAAATTTCAAAGGATGACTGTTTGCATATTGCTTAATTAGGTTCCCTTTTAAATGCAAACATAACTAAATTTCTTCCCCACCCCTAACAGATAAATAGATGAAATCAAAATAGAAAGTCCATGTTCCAAAGAGAGATACTTTGGCACGCGCACGTGCGCACACACAAACAAACAGCAGATGACCATGCCAGATGCGTAATGGCTTTTGAAACAACCCACATTTGCAAAGGCAAGTTTACCACGCAGCTTGGGTAAGAGAGCACTGTTTAAGAAACAAGTCAAAAGCATACATAGGACATAATAAGCAGTTGTTCTTTGGATCCCAGCCAACATTTGTGCCCTGAAAATTGCCAATCCACAGCTAACCAAAAACAGAGAACATAGCAAGGCCAAAACACAACTTCGGTTTTCGCAAGCTCAAAAAGTAAGAGGCATAGAAACCCTGAGGGAAACTTGATGCATCATTCCATTGAATAAAATGTGAGTATCTGAGTGATATATTGCTGTTCTTTAAAAACAAAATGTACTTTTGCAAAAAGTCCATGCCTCAAAATAGGAGTGGTTAGGAGAACTTATTTTTATTATCTCTGGTTTTTATTCTGACTTGGATGGTTTTAATTTATCTGCTGTATAATCTCTTTTTTAACTCTGGTAGCAGGGCTGGAAATCCCCCTTCCCCTGCCTGCCTGAGACAGTGATGAGGCACCTCATCACAGAATACCATGCTGGGCTAGATGAGCAAATACTCTGACTCAGTATAAGGCTGCCTCATATGTTTCACTACTGGCATGATAAAAGACACATATTTTTTCTAGCCACCTAGCAAGAGAATCTCCAAATTGACACAGTAAATCTGGAAGAATACCAAACCTTGATGAAAAATAATAAAATAAAATAATCAGGGAATTGCAAAAGGAAATGGTTACACTGCGTCCTACTTAACAATAATAAAAGCAAGCATTTATATAGTGAAGGTGTGGAGAAAATTTGGTCCTCCGGAAGCTTCTGAACTACAGTCATACCTCAGGTTGCGAACATGATCCGTGCAGGAGGCACGTTCGCAACCCGCAGCATTCGCAAGCCGCAGCGCCGCATCTGCGCACATGCGTGATGCGATTCAGCGCTTCTGCGCATAACGTCATTTTGCGCTTCTGCGCATGTGCAAGTGCTGAAACCCGGAAGTAACCCATTCCGGTACTTCCGGGTTTGGCGCAGTCTGCAACCCGAAAATGCGCAACTCGCAGCGTTCACAACCAGAGGTATGACTGTATTGCAATTCAGATACATCAGGAGGCTCAACAGTTCCCCACACCTGATATAGTGCATTTCAAGCACATTTACCACACAATCCTTACTATCTCTACTTAGACATAAGTCCTACTGAATTCACTGGGGCTTACTTCCACATCAGTGGGGTTAGAATGGCAGCTTAAGTACTTCTTCTCAGGAACGCTTACAAGAAGTCTGCAATGTAGTCCAGAATAAATATACAGTGGTACCTCGGGTAAAGTACTTAATTCGTTCCGGAGGTCCGTACTTAACCTGAAACTGTTCTTAACCTGAAGCACCACTTTAGCTAATGGGCTTCCTGCTGCTGCTGCGCCGCCAGAGCATGATTTCTGTTCTCATCCTGAAGCAAAGTTCTTAACCTGAAGCACTATTTCTGGGTTAGCGGAGTCTGTAACCTGAAGCGGATGTAACCTGAAGCGTATGTAACCTGAGGTTTCCACTGTATAACATTGAAAAGGGTCCAGGCTGAGACCACCTAGATGGTTTTCTGAACATAACACTTTACCACTGTAACACCATTATCATTATTAAATGCATATACATCCCTTCATCAAAAGATCTCCGGGCGGTTTACAGAATAAAATGCAAGATAAAACACAGGTAAATAATTAAACCAAAACAACAAAACACTAACACCCCACTCCTCACAGAAACATTTAAAAGGCTGCAGAATATTAATCAGCCTAGTTGAAGAGGAACGCTTTTGCCTGGCGCCTAAAACTATGAAGACCCCAGGCAAACCTCCCTGGCAGATTTGCCAACTTGAATAAAATATCAGGGGACCCAGGCAAGCCCCACATCACATAATCGATCACACATACCAATTGAATGGCAATGCCCATCAACATCAGGGGCCCGCCCCCTCAAATATTTTATGGGGGGGGCAAAGGGATCTCAACCCCTAGGAGTTGGGTCCTATGCTCCCTGGGGTTGTGGTGGTAGTTTTCCCCTCCCATATAGGCTACTCATATAGGCTACTGCTTAAATCGAACAACCTATCCATACCTGGTGCCTTCCAGATGTTGCTGTCAGCCCCAGCTATCATGGATAATGTCTAGGGATGAGGTGAGTTGGAGCCCATCTGGAGGGCACTAGCTTGGGGGAAGCTGAATTAGAACCACAAAATACCCAAGGTTAGAACTAATCTTGTAAAAAAAGAGTAAAAGAAGTAAAAAAGAGAGGCTTACTTAGCTTGGATATTTCATTTGAACTTGGGACCTGTTGGCATGTGTGGACTTTACACCTTTATGTAATAAAAACCTGTCTGACTCTGTTTACTTTGAACCAGCTAACACCACTATGTCTTTTTCTAAGCGGCTTTTGGCGAGAAAGACAGCAATATTTTATCATGTATAACGTTATAAGAATAAGGAGGAGAGGCTTGTGTCAACTTTTAACTTCCTCTGTGACATATGCAAACATTTCACAGTAGCTGGTGCCACTGCTAAGGCAGCAGATGTCCTCTGTGACCTGGGTGAGTCTGGGCATGCCTTTCAGTTTGCAATCCTAAGCATATGACTTTGGAAATAAACTCCCCTGAAACCAATGGGATTTTCTTCTGAGTAAACATGTCTAGGAGAAAGTTGGAAAAATACTGTTGTTTTGCTTTTAAAAAGCGATTACAACACACTTTATTCGGGTAAAAGTACTGAACGTATAGGTCAGGCAAACTTGGCCCTCCAGATGTTTTGGGACTACAACTCCCATCATCCCTAGCTAACAGGACCAGTGGTCAGGGATGATGGGAGCTGTAGTCTCAAAACATTTGGAGGGCTGAGTTTGCCTATGCCTGGTATAGGTTATACTTTTGAGTCAAAAGTTTTGACTGGTGGTACTCTTGTTCAGCAAAGATAGCTTGACTAATTCTAGAACATTCTAAAGCAAAACTGGAGTAGGAGCTCAAAGAAGCAGGAGGGGTGAAAGGATTCCTTGCAAAGTAGTAACTTAAAGTGATTTTACAGCCACTCCCCATCTCTTTAGAGCCTAGAAATTATGTAGTTCTATGAAGCGGACTTCTTTAGCTGATAATTTTCAATATCTTCACAAAACTCCTTGAGGAAAAGCCATGAAATAAAGTCAGTTTAACTTTGTGGGAAGATGGGGATGGAAGCCTGTGAGCTGCACTGCCACCTTGCCCACAAACATCAAAGCACTACTGTTTGATTTACTGCATCCCGGAAGCCATCCATGTTGGGATCCATCATCTGCTGCTCCATCACAACCACACTTTTCTTCTCAGCCACTGCAAGAGTCCCATATTGATGCAACACAGCTTGTCCAAATGCCACAGAGATTTGCCATTGTGGTCAGGTGTTTGCTTGAAGTAGGACATTTATGGAATCTTAAGGTAAGACATTCACTCACTCACTCACTCACTCACTCACCCACCCATAAGCATTTCTAAACTTCTTAATCACACAAAGGAGGAATCAGTTCAAGAGCCCTTCTTTGCCTGTAACTCTACTTCACTGGGAGCATGTTGGTGGGTGGAACCATTGCTGCTGGCCCCCCAGATCTCAATCAGTTCAAAATATAGCTACTGTCTAAAATTAATTGTTGACTGGGACTTTAAGCTATAGGTTTAACATTCTCAGACCACAATCTGAGAAACAAACAATTATCTGTGATGAAGGATGGAAAGCAATCTGGACCACCACATCCTTTTGGCCACGTTTCAAGTATTCAGTGAGAAAATTCTGTCCGATACCAAAATTATGGCCAAAGGTTTGCAGCCTCCTTGTGCCAGAAAATGCAATGAACTAGAAATGAGTACAGCTAGTCAAGCAGTCTGGTGTTATTTAACATGATGGCATTATGGCGCAGCAGGTAGCTGCAATGGTGCAAACGAACTAGGGTGTCAATAATACAGACGAATATCAGAAAAAAATCTGAAAAATTAGAACGTGTATTTATTTAAAATGTGTATTTAAAAATTAGAATGTGTATTTATTTAAAATGCATAATATACTTGGAACGTGGACTGTATCATAATGGGATCATCTAGATGCCTGCAGCAATTATATAACTAGAAATTACTGCAAGTAATTTACTGAGCACAGCATTATATCAAAATAAAAAGGAACACCTTGTTCTTTAAAAACACTGCAGGCTTTATTCAGCAATGCACTAAAGCAACAGTTATTATGCTTGCTAATCATCCAAAAGCCTATATGGAAATAGATGAAGGAACATCAAAACTAGTAGCTGGCTAGATAAAATGTAACAAATGATTAACACAATGTAGAAATGGAGACTTAACTGGAGATATAGATAACACTGGTCAACAACAAATTTGTTGTCTGCGTTTTTTCAGTTGATTTAGGACAAATCTGATGCGCTGACTCAAAAAATTACATTGGTTTTGCTCAATCAGGTCAAGTTTTTGAGCTATGGCCACATGTTGTTTTTTTATGTTTTTGTTCACATGTACGCTTGTGTGGAGCATTTTAGAAGTTGTTGGTGGGGGTAAAATGCCATGTCAAATAATTGTTTTGATTGGAAATGATTATTTTAATGGCAAGAAGTATTCAGGTCTGATAGTTCTGGGTGATTATGTCGAAAAGGGATCACTTTGAAGTCATAAAACCTAGAAATCTTCCATAAATTGGTGCAGCAAAGCATAAAGTTGGGGGATCAAAACTAAGTTAATGGGGCAGCCGCCCCACGAAGTATCCTGATCTTTAATCAGCACGTTGTCCTGTAGCTCATTGTGATGAAATTCCAGTGCCTATCTTCGGAGAACTTTCTGACATTAGTGACGAAGATGCCGCCAGTGTTGAAGGACATGAAGAAGAAGAAGTGGTTCTTGAAGGTGATGCTCCACATCCATTTTCCCAAAAGGAGTTGAATGATCTAGTTCGTGACCTCAGCTTGTCAAAGGACTCTGCCAAACTGTTGGCATCCAGATTGAAGGAAAAAAACCTCCTCTCTGACAGTGCTCGCATCAGCTTCTTCCGCAACAGGCATCAAGAGTACCTCCATTTTTTCTCGTAAGAGAAGGACTTGGTGTACTGTGCAGATATTGTGCAGCTTCTGCTCAAGCTTGGAGTGCCACAGTACAAACCCAAAGATTGGAGACTGTTCATTGACAGCAGCAAGTGATCACTGAAATGTGTTCTGCTACACAACGGCAACCAGTTTGCCTCTATACCCCTGGCTCACTCGAGTACACTGAAGGAGAACTATGAAGCGGTGAAGTATGTGCTGGAGAAAAGTGGTTATGATCAGCATAAGTGGTTTATTTGTGTTGACCTGAAGATGGTGAACTTTTTGTTGGGACAACAGTCTGGCTTCACCAAGTACCCATGTTTTCTGTGCATGTGGGATAGTAGGGACCGTGCTCAGCATTACACGAAGAAGGACTGGCCTGTGTGGGAGGAATTGGTGCCTTGCAAAGAAAGGAACGTCATCAATGACCCTCTGGTGGACAGAGACAGAATACTCTTCCCACCGCTGCACATCAAGCTCGGCTTAATCAAGCAGTTCACCAAGGCTCTGGACAAGGATGGTGACTGCTTCACTTACTTGTGCCAGGCTTTTCCAGGATTGACCATGGAGAAGTTGAAAGCTGGCATCTTTGACGGTCCTCAGATCCGTCAGCTCATCAGAGATCCAGAGTTTGGAAACTCAATGGGCGAAGTGGAACTGGAAGCGTGGAAGGCATTTGTTCTAGTAGTGAAGAACTTTCTTGGCAACAATAAGGCCAGAAACTATGCAGAACTTGTCAACAACATGCTGACTGCTTTCAGAAACCTGGGCTGCAACATGAGCGTCAAGATGCACTACCTATTTTCACATATGGACCGGTTTCCTGAGAACCTGGGTTCAATGAGTGACAAGCAGGGGGAGAGATTCCATCAGGACATGAAAGAGATGGAGACCAGGTATCAGGGTCGCTGGGACGTAGTCATGATGGCTGACTACTGTTGGACTCTGAAGAGAGACCTCCCTGCCGCTGAGCATTCCAGGAGTTCCAAGAAACGGAAGTTCAAGCCCTGAAGTTTGAAAAATGGTGAAGCAACATGCAATTTACGTGTACTTACCTTTATGAATGCCCACCATTCAGTTTACAGTAAACCTGACTTGATGGAGAGAAACGGATGCCATTTCCTGATTCAGCAGTGCAAAAATACCCTAAATCAGTTGTAGAAATCTAGACAACATTCAAAAAGTAAAAAATTGTTGCCCAGTGTAATGGGTGTGAAAAACTAATTTCTCTGGAAATGTTTCAGGCACCTGGTTCTCTAAAAATTAGATGCCACCCAATATTTTTAAACAATTATTTGGCTCCATGCAGGATTAGAACTTAAATAAACAATAATAATAATACTGGCTCCTGAAATTGGAGTCCTGGTTTCTAATAATCTGAAGGGTCTTTTCCCCCTCCAACTACCAAAGGGTAATAGAAATTGTCTTGCAAAAGTATTCAGTCACTGAATGTACAGAGACAGTTTAAAATGAGCACACCCTAAAATTGCCATAAACCACTTAGAGGTTTTATAAACAGCTTACAATCAATTTTCCTACATTCAGGCGGTATGTAAATGTTGTTAAATAAGTGAAGAATGAAGAAAAACAGATACGTAGTAAACAACAAAATTCTTAGCGGTTTATAGGGATGAGCATTGTAACAGAGAAGCAGTTAAAAGTGTTCTATAGGAACAACTAATATTTGCACGCATACACAAAAACCTAATGAAGATATTTGGCATTTGCTTGGATGAGTTGTCAGCTTTCATCCCCAGTGTTGTTTCTAATATTATAGTTTACATAGAATTTCTAGTGTCCTGAATAGCAGGATTAGGATCAGGGCATATTGGCCATGAACTTTCAAAGTTCTCTCACAAGGAGCTTTAGGAGGGGGAAAAGACACACTGTCCCTTTCACAACAGTTTGCATTGTGATGTTTATATATTTGTTGTGAATTAGCCTGATCTAATTCATTTGTTGTGAATTTGCCTAGGAAAATAAATATATTAAATAAATAAAAGAATCATCACCATGGTATCAACCTCTCCACCCCCCCACCCCCCCGCTCAATCCCTGTTCACAAATTACCCTATAAACCATGCTTACTCTCTGTTAACCTGAATGGCTTGCTGCACTGCATTCTAGACATTTCCTCCCAACAAACAGATGAAAATACTGTACAGAATGTTGTCCCTAGACCTGTTACAAAGAAGCAGACACAACATCCTGATTTAATACTTGTTTTTACAAAACCAGTAACGGAAAAGTTACAAAAAAGGAAATTTCTAGAGATACAACTAGGCAAAAAGAGAGAGAAAATAATAAGGAAGGGTATATGGATTTTATGTTGATTTTTATTATGACAATGACATACAAACTGTTGTTTTTTTTAAACCATTTGATCAGCACCAGGAAGGCCATGGTGACATAAGGGTTAGCCCTGGGGATGGTGAATCGGGAGAGAGGCTGAGGCTGGCTTTCTGCTTCACATCTGTGCTAGCTGCAGGCCAGTACTGTGCTAGTTTCCATTTTGCAGTTCTAGTACCAGACAGCCTATGCACATATCTACCCTTACACACAGCAGGCCAATAGCATGCTGCAAATATATTTACTATCTTCATAGACTCAAAATTCATATAGTAAAGTTAATACCATGTTATTAGTAATGTAAATATCATGTAATTGTTATTTGGTCAGAATATAGAATGTATGTATGTATGTATGTATGTATGTATTTAAAATCAGCGTGGAAAACAGGGCATTGTATACTCCTTTCAGTTCCACCCAGCTAGCATGGACTATTATGTATGCATAGTCTGCCTTGTGCTGTGTTGTTGTTTAAGTCTGGTCAACTGCTATGCTCCTGTTTTGCACCGTTTCTCCCTGACCTTCTTCCTATCCATTGCTGTTTAGCTGTGCTGCTGCGGAGTCAGCAGAGGGAGCATAACCAGTGAACTCAGAACACATCTGACCCCATTCAGTTATGCCCTTAAACAGGAAAAAGAGTTCACTGTCAAAGTTCACTAAAGATCAAATTGCAGGTAGCAATCAAAATTAACTGTATAAAAGTGGCAAGTGAATTTTAATGGGGGTTTTTGCAGTACTTCCTTCATCTTAATTATAATAGATTCATATGACACAACTCATGTGTGTGTTTATAGTTCTGCAGATCCCCACCATGTTTACCCGGAAGAAAGTCCCATTGATTGACTTATGCTTCACTCTGAGACCTTGACATTAAAAGCATAGCCTATATTAATCAGCAGGCTTAGCATTCCACTGCAAGTCCCCGACTACAATCTTCAGCCATCCACTTACCTGTTGTACTTTTGAAGTACAAGTAGCGATGAGCCATATGTAGCACAGTGCCTTTTCTGCGTTAGTTGGCTAAATATTTTCCCCCCTCTGTCAACTTGACATTGCCTCTGAAAACCTTGTCCTGGAACTGGGTGTTAGTGAGTGCATGTTTATCTGTTTTGGACTAAATAATTGTTCTGTTTCTCCAACAGCCATGGGCCTGTACAGGACTGGTGGGTTGTGTTTGGCTTGATGGATCACACTCACAAATTAAGGATGCTTGACCTAAAGGACTGGCAAAACACTATTTACTAAAAATATTTTGGGGGGAAGAAACAGCACATGGATTTTTAATCTGCCCGTTTCATTAATAGCTCATGAACAGCGTGGGAAGGACCATCGTGCAGTAGTACAGCACACAGTTAAACTCCATATGGTAGTGGCCGGCAGAGTACGGCTTCATAATGTGGAGGTCGCTGCTGACAACCAAGAGGGGTGAAGTGGCAGGGAGGTTGGTGTGGTGTGGGCACAGTGGCGGAGCCAAACCAATGTGCCTACACTGAGCCAACCTCCCTGCCACCTCTCCCTTTCCCCTCCCCTCTCTCTCGGTTGCTCGCATCATATGTAAAAAAAGAAACACCACTTTCTTGGGTTGATAACCTACTGACCTTTATCTTGTCTGACCACAACTTCAGTTTCTTAGCCATAATTCAGCCCACAACCAACTCCAAGCACCTTTTCAGCACTTTGAAAGTTACATGTGCCCCCCCAATAGAAAGAAGAGAGGGAGAGGGCATCTTTTACAGATCAAAATATCCAGCTCATCCTGTCCATTACTTGGCACACATCATCCACCACAGGAACCAAACAGAAGGGAGGTTGAAATGTGTCTACAAGATTGTCCGAAAACATTTGGAGAACAGTCACCACCAGTTTGATCACATTGTCCACAAGATAGAGATTTGCCACTGAGCAGAAACTGGAAAGATGCTGGGTCCTGGAAAGCCCTTTTCAGAAGAGGCCTCACAAGATACAGGTTGAAGCCATGAAAAGCCATTTTGCCCAGCAAAGTGGAGAAACAAATCAGAGACCACTGATGCGCCTTTAAAGTCTAATGTATCCTTTGTTTTGGGACAGTCTTGGATTAGAGTTCCTTACTTTTGAAGTTTTGATCAGGCCCCAGGCTGGACCAGATCAGATGACCAACTGTGGGAATATTGCAGCAATCGACCCTAAACTGACTGCATACCATCCAAATGATAACGTCCTGTTTTTCAGCTCTTCAGCAACCTCACAGACAGTTTAAGAGGAAAATTTGTCCCAGAATTTACATATTGCAAAGATAAGCGCAAGATTTGCCAGATAAGTGCAAGATTTGCCAGTCAGGTCATTCAAGTCCTAACTAGTACTCCCTACACACAGCCAACACATTCGTTTACTTTTGAAATAGATGGAGGTCTTTCTTTTCTTTGCAGTCAACATGGAAATCTCTTTTCAGCCAAGGTATGTTTTTTATATATATATATATATGCTTTAAAAGGAAACATGCATAAGAACATATCATTTTGATCTGACCAGCTGCATTATCACGAAAGTTAATCACGTGTGAGACAGAACTGAATCAGTAAAAGAAGCTTCTTTGTCAGAGAAACAAGCACACATTTGAAGGGAGACAAAATGCTCACTTATCAATTTTATAAAGCAATTCCAAATATTACATGCAGCTGAACACATTTTTTTAAAGAAACACATTAACTTCATCTGTTTATTTACTTTATTGGTATCCTGCTCTTCTTTCAAGAAGTTCAGGGGCAGCATATACAGGGGAATCCCAGTTTATATCCCCATAAGCACCTTTGAAGCAAATTAGGCTCAAATCTACCCAATGGACTTCACTGGTGTAAATTTTATAGTAACTCATGATGTCATCCTAGTCATTATTGCTTGGATAGTAAGTCTCACTGAACTTTGTGGATTCTGCTATGGGTGTACATTATACAGTGATTTGGCATTCTGCTCCTTACTTTAGAATTCTTTGATATCAAAACAATTCTTGCATTTTCTACAAGTTTACAAGGGCTCAAAAAGTTCAAATAATGCACAATGGTCCAAATTCTGTATTTTGGAGAGAGGAGGTTAAGAGAAAATACATACTTCAACTCAGAGGTCGGCAGCTTGAAATCCTATGTATTTTGCTAAGACTGAACTCCTATAACACTTACCTTAAGCTCAATGGAACTTACTTCTGAGCAGACATGTATGGGATTGCACTATCATGCTGCTTTAAAATATGTGGAATTTGGATGCTTTCAGCATGTACTGGATGGGTGGTCAGAGATGTAAAAATCTGCTTATCACTCACCTAAGATCAGTTTGTTTTCAAGAAATAAAATGCTATTACTTACAGTTCAGCATCTGGAATAACAAGGTGATAAAAGGAAAACAACCCCACTGCCAAAAGCTACTTACAGTGCAATTCTATCCTTATCTACTCAGAAGTCCCACAGAATTCAATAAGTCCTTCTCCCAAGTGACTCTGCAATCCTTACTCCATTTTCCCACTACAGTGGTACCTCGGGTTAAGTACTTAATTCGTTCCGGAGGTACATTCTTAACCTGAAGCACCACTTTAGCTAATGGGGCCTCCTGCTGCTGCCGCACCGCCGGAGCACGATTTCTGTTCTCATCCTGAAGCAAAGTTCTTAACCCGAGGTACTATTTCTGGGTTAGCGGAGTCTGTAACCTGAAGCATATGTAACCTGAAGTTTATGTAACCCGAGGTACCACTGTAGTATGCATAGGATTACAGCCTTAAAGATATATTCCATTTGAACGTTCTGTTTAAATACAACTGCTAATTAGTAAATCTTAAAACTGGCCTACACTTTTTAAAAACATAGTTAATTCTAAGCATGTGTTACTAAATATAAAGATTTCCATAGCACTAAAGTATCCGTGTTCAATCACATGATCTCCACGTTACGGTATAAATATTGTTAAACCATGCTTGCAAATAGTCACCACTTAGTTGCCTCAAGCAAACAAGAATTGCCTTGAGGTAACTAGCGCGGCAATTTTTGTAAACCTCAATAGAGGGAAGCTCTTTTATTGCCTTTTAGGCTGGCTGACTATTTATATTGTGTTTTACAGCAAATTTGCTTATTTTGATTTTGTCATGGCATTTAAATGATCGTTACCCACTTTGGGAACATGAATGATGAAGAGTTGTAAATAAACATAATAAACAAACAAACAAACAAACAAACAAACACACACAGGACTAACTTAGATTGCAGCCCTATACTCATTTACACAGGAGTAAGTACTATTGATCAAACCTCTCCATTCTTAAGGAAATCAGCCCTGAGTGCTCACCGGAAGGACAGATCGTGAAGCTGAGGCTCCAATACTTTGGCCACCTCATGAGAAGAGAAGACTCCCTGGAAAAGACCCTGATGTTGGGAAAGTTGGAGGGCACAAGGAGAAGGGGACGACAGAGGACAGTGTTCTCGAAGCTACCAACATGAGTTTGACAAAACTGCGGGAGAAAGTGGAAGACAGGAGTGCCTGGTGTGCTCTGGTCCATGGGGTCACGAAGAGTCGGACACGACTAAACGACTAAACAACAACAAGTACTATTGAACTCAACAGGCTTATTTCCATGCAGACAGGATTGTATTGGACAGTATGTGTGGGCAGGCAGACAAGTAAAAGTGTTTGTTTTACTGATTTTGTAATTCTGTGTTAAACTTTATGGATTATTTTTTACAATGGACATGTTTTGGCCTGCAGGTCTCTTATAAGTACAGCACAGATGTCAAAGTATCCTACAGTCATTGTAATACTTTTGTTAGCTACTCAGTCTACATGCGAGGGAAATAATTTGACATAATTAATATTAAGTACTACTCCACCAGTTCTAAATACCCCGGCTGAACTCCTGATGAAACACGCTTAGGGTTGCGCTGCAAATCATTTCAATATCCTTATCTTTATTTGAAGATTGGCCCCATTCAGTTTTAAGAGAACTGGCTTCCACATAAGTAGCTCAGGAATTTGGTGTGGTAAACTCAACTCAATAATTAACAAGCTTAAAGATTTTATTTGTTTATGATGGCACAACAGCAGCCTTTATGACTTTGCTATAGGCTATAATTTGTTAGTAGCTACTCAGGAAGATCACAAGTTACCCATCATGCCTACTTAGGGCCAAACTAAATTAGGTAATACAGATCTCTGACCAGATCTCCCAGGTCTATTAAATTTTGGCTAATAGCAGGTGTGCAAGTTAGATCTGGAAAAATGCTATGGCAATGCTAGTGTTATAGTTCCAGGTGCCTGCATCTCCAGACATACAGAATTTTTTTTAATCCCCAAGAAATAGTTGTTTCACACATTACATATCAGCAAACATTCGTCTGACACTGAACGTACGCTTCCAAGGAAGCTCCGGCTAACCCTAGCTCCCTGACGATTGTACAAGTATAATGCACATATTTTCACAATGCCTGTTTTGTCACATTCACCATTTGACATACTAGATACATTGAAAACATTTTTGTGTATGCCTAAAAACGTAATGTGTAAAGAAGCCAAAAGTCAAATTTCAAGTCCTAATATGTACTCTTTGGAGCAAAGCCATACTATGATTAGCTAAGTTTTAATGTAGGCCCAAACTTGTGGCAGCCATATTTGTTGTATGTGCGCTGCCCACACACGTGGAGTGCCTAATTCTAACATCAGTGAGACTACACAGGTGGGGAAAGGTGATCTTGCATTTCAAGCATCTCTCACTCAGCTTGGCTTAGTGCCAATGTCAAAGGGGAAGGGGAAGAGTGGAGTTTAACAGTATGTCTTACTTATTTTTTTAAAAAAAGTATTTCCCTTGAAATTGTGCCATTAATGTGTCATTAATGTGCCAGAAGGAGACCTAGTTCCATATTTAGTAGCTTGACACAATTAGTTCCTGATCTTTGCCAGCTGGAGCAAAGGTTTTCGCTAAGAGGTCAGTTTTTATGATTACAAAACTCATACCAGCTAGCCAAATCATGGCAGAGTGGGAAGGATCAAATGTGTGGGCTCTCACAGAAGAGATCACAAGCACTCTGCTCTTCTGCTGACCTAAGTCATGCTTTGGCTTAGCATGACTTTCAAACCTGGGCTCATGGTTTAGCTCTCCTAGATAAACCACAAGCTGGAAGCCATATGACAAGCCTTGGTTGCATCTTGTGGGTTGTCTGGAGAGAGCTAAACCACAAACACAGGCTTGAATTGCATGCTAAACCAAACCATGGCTTAACACAGCACAGCAGCAGAACAAGCAGGAAGGAGCAATGCTGCCTCAACTTCCATTCTGGGAGCCTGCAGGTGTTCTTGTTTGCACTAAACAATGGTTTGGCTTAGCATTACATGCAAATACATTAGTTGGCTGAAGGGACGCGGGTAGCGCTGTGGGTTAAACCACAGAGCCTAGGGCTTGCTGATCAGAAGGTCGGCGGTTCAAATCCCCGTGATGGGGTGAGCTCCCGTTGCTCGGTCCCTGCTCCTGCCAACCTAGCAGTTCGAAAGCACATCAAAGTGCAAGTAGATAAATAGGTACCGCTCCGGCGGGAAGGTAAACGGCATTTCCGTGCGCTGCTCTGGTTTGCTAGAAGTGGCTTAGTCATGCTGGCCACATGACCTGGAAGCTGTACTCCAGCTCCCGGGCCAGTAAAGCGAGATGAGCACCGCAACTCCAGAGTCGGCCACGACTGGACCTAATGGTCAGGGGTCCCTTTACCTTTACATTAGTTGCCTACCAGTATTTAATGAGATGAAACAGGGAGCAGTACCTATTATTTTAATCTATTTCACTTGTCATTTCAAGCTCATCTGATTGAACATGAAGGAAATTCTGGATAAGTATTCTTTGTGGAACAAAACTATGTACGATGCTGTTCTGTGTATGTTTACTCAGAAGTTCATCCTACTATGTTTCATAAGATTTATTCTCTAGTAAGTACATTAATATTTCACCTGAAGTATACTTTTGGGAGGTCATCTATTTTTCTTTACTCATTTTTCCATAAACTGAAGATATGCTTTTCTAATGAGTATACCTTTACCTTAGAAGAACTCAGATAAATGGGTTTATTTCACAGTTAAGAGTGCTAAAGCAGAATTAATAACTTTTCATTTCTATTATTTGAATATGCCAATTGCATATTAGAGATGTCCAAACTGAAAATATTGCTGCACCATGGAACAGTACTTCAGGGTTCCTAATACCGTTTCAGAAATATCTATGATACTAAGTTTAAGTGGTTAACTTGTATACATTAGTTTAATGTCTGCTAAAACTAAAGATACAGTACTGCAAAGCAACTGAGAAAGAGCAAAAAAGGGCATTAATTTTCACTGGGGAGCTGGGTTTCTGATAATATGAGCAATATTTCCTATGTCACCTTTATCTTTTTGATTGACTCTTCTTAATTTCTGTGTGTCTAATTCCAGCTTCTCCCCTTTTGTGAAACCATCCCTGAATGTATCATTCTGAACTGGCATCTACCCAACACCTGTCAGCTTTCACCCAGAAGTCCATGAGGAACCTGTACAACTGACATGAAAGCTTGTGCTAGCAGAGTGCATAGAAGGATAAGACTTCCCCTTAACAAGCCTTTATTTTCTCACCTGCACAATCTCAAGAAAAACAAACTAGCCACTTTTTGTTGATAAACCAAAGCCATTTCATGCAACTGCACTTTTGAACCAAACAAATCCCTTGTTACAAATGCCAACTTGTATGAACATGCACATGGGCAGAAAACACCTTGTGTTTATTGTACCTTGTTTGCATATGTGGGAGAGGGAGAGAGATTCATCTACTTCCACTGCAGTGAGTCTAAACTAAAATGATGTTGCTCTTGTGTAACAGAGTGAAAATGAGAGAGTTCCAAGACATTCAGTATAGCACAAACTTCCATGGACAAACTTCATCAAATGAATAGTTTTAACCTCAGTTGGTAGCTATATACACAAATGGGTGTAGATAAAGCACTCCACGAACTGTGAATGCATAAGCACTGAGGATCATAGAATTGTTGGAAGGGACCACAAAGGTCATCTAGCTGAATCCCTGCAATGCAATAATCTTTCCCCCCAAATGAGAGATTTGAACTCACAACCCTGAGATTAAGAGTCTCTTGCTCTACCGTCTCAGCTTAAAATGGGAACTCTCGAAACTTTGCAAATTCTATACTAATGTCGAACTAGGTGTAATTTAGCTCCTTTTCTAAATCCAAGTATTACAATATTTCCCTCTTTATTCAATTCAGGGCATGCAATTAAGCTCAGTTTTGCATTATATATGCAGGTTTTAAAATCACGATTAAATCAGGGGGAGATCAATGTTTCCCACTTGTAGAAGAACTAACTACTTGTGACACAGATCACTCTGCCTGCAACAACTTTGTCACCACCTGCCATTCCATCATTCTTACATTTTTATCTTACCCTTCCTCCAAAGATCTCAGAATGGCACACAGAACCTTCCACCTTCACAGCATCCTTGTGAAGCTGGTTAGGCTGAGAGATGATGACTAGCCCAAGGTCACAGGTGAATTTCATGTCTCATTGTAGATTTAAACCCAGGCTTCTCTGAATTCGACACTCTACTGAGTAAATCAGCACCCACCCACCCCCAATTTGGTTTACATGTTATGAATTCTTTTTAGTCATTTGGTTTATTTTCTCTGTCGGAAATGATAGGCTTGAAGTTGTTACTGTGTTATATATCTTGTTGTTTTAGGACTGTGCTTTAACTGCATTTTATCATCTTATGTTTGTGAGCCACCCCCAAAAGCCATGTTATTGGGGTGGTCCTATATAAATTTAGTAAGTAAAGCCTCTAACCGATTAGGAAGCTGTTCCTGAGACACTTATTTGTAGGTTTGCAAAAATGTAGAAAGGCTATAGTGCAAGCCACTATGCAGTCTATAGTGTACTGCCCTGCTCACAGTCATGCAGGTTTTCTGCTTGTGGACTATAGACACCTGGTTGGTCACTGTGGTAACCAGGAAACCAGACTAGATGGAGCTATGGCATGATCCAGCCAATCTTATGCTCTTAATGTGTTAATAAGTTTTATAACAAATTGTGGTGTCCCCCCCCCCCAAATGTGGTGTTGTATTTTACTAACAAGATGATGTTTCCTGTGAACTGCTTTGCACACAGCCTACTGTGGAAAAAGTGGCGCATATTATTTATTTATTCTTAATTCATTATCAATAATATTAAATTCATGATTAACAGCTGAAAGATTTAGGTTTTGATCAACAGCATCACTGACTTCTCAACAGGCAGAGCTGGTTGTACCTAAACATCCTTTGCTTTCTAAAGGTTCCTGTGGTGTCATTTTGGCTGCAAATCCTGTTCTTCCTTAATGGTAATTCTGTATTTGTAATTGTAGCACAACTGGATGAAGCCTTGGATGAAAATCAAGTTGATTGGCCATGTGAGCTTGTTCTTCAGCTACACTAAAAAAATATAACAGTGAGGTAGATATTTCTGTTAGGAATTATTTAATGAAGTCTATACACTGGAAATTTAACATTGGTGAATGGGATTTCAAAATATTGTCATGTACAGGGAAAATCTTCTTAAAGGATGATATAATAAAGAGACTTGAAGATTTCAACCTATGCATATTTCAGGATGTAAACGCATGGCTTTTGAACTTAAAGGTTATATGTTCTGCTACCAAGACACTGAGTCATCTCCTTGCCCAGAATTCTTACAAAATATGCAAAGGGCAAAAGTCCATGTATTTTCTTTGAAAAGCACAAAAGGAGGAAGTCTCTGTTTCTGTGCCCTTTTTGTCTAACATGCCGAAAGTCAAGGCTTTGGAGGAGTAGGATCAGTAATTTGAATGGAGCTTGGTTTTTTAACATAAATTATACTGTAATACCTGCTTAGTATAAGTAAGGAAGGAAGGAAGAAAAAGGGTAGAATTTAGTTCCATGTACATATTATTTTGTGGTTTTCCACTTAAAGCTGAAACATCTCATTTTGACACGTGTCAGTTTTGTTTAACAAGTTTTGTAGTATATATTTTAAGCAGCACAGACACAGAGTATTTTGAGAATGCCGCAAAGCACACTTCTGTAAGGCATTTATTCCATATGAAGTTTTACACTTGGACAGGTCTACTGCTTCTGTGTGAAACTCAAAATTGTTCACCTTAGCCTGCTTTGGGAAGCATACAAAGTAAGCTGCTCATGGAGGGGAGGTGGTGATGTAGTATTTGCTTGGCTATCATTTTACCAGAACATTGTGCGGCCCTATATCATATAGGCAGAAGATCTGGAAGATGTAAGGTCTATTTTCACTTATGGGGCAAGATTTCTGCCATCTAAAAATACACTGCCATCATTTTTCCCCCTGAAGGAAGAACTACATGAGGAACTATGAAATTCTCACTCTGACTTTTTGTTACCCCGAAGCATGCCTGGTACTGCTGCTAATTGTCATGTGGTTCTAGTGGGGGCGTATTACGTAACGGAGTGACTGTGCTGTTTGGCTCCTCAACAGACCAAAAAAATTACAACCCCTGAATCAGCATCTGACATCCTAAAGAGCAATGACAAAGAGCATAGGAAGCAGGGGAATAGCTTCGGCAGTTATTGAAAGCCCCACTCAAAACTCTTTGTTTGAAAAGCTTGTAGGATATGCTATCTACACTTGAGAAGATGCCCTAAAATAAACTCTGGATGGATCCATGGGTGATCCCGACTGCAACTGGAAAGTAAAAGCAGAAGACCAGGAATAGTACACTTCCTGCATTCCTTCCATATACAACTCTCCAACTGGAACCATTTTATATCCAAGATGGGTCCTTAGAGGCAGCAGCATCCCACATCCTGTCGTTCCTGTCCTTTGTGAAATAAGGCAAATGTAAGAGCTCTCACATGATTTCCATGAAGCATATGGTTTTCAGCAAGGACAGTCCTTTTTTGGAACTTTTCAGTTGACCTTGAAATAGGAAATTCAGACAATCACTCTGTCTTGGCCCTTCACATGGGAAAGTCCAACTTTTAAATGATAAGGTGGACTTTGCAATGTGTCCAGTGTGACTTATCCTCAGGTAAGCATGTATAGGACTGCAATCTTAATTAAGTTTTCAGAGTGCCCTTGGTATGAGATGCTTTCAGAAAAGGAAACTGAAGCTTGCAATTCTGAACATTTTACTAAGTATGCAAACATGTATAATTTAGTATAGTCTAGCCCAGCTAAAGTATTGAGCCTTGGAGAACCAGAATGTGTGAGAGATGAGGGGCAGATATAGAGATACAAGGAACTTGAGGCCAAGGGAAGAAGGGATCAGTAAGATAAGCACACAAATCCTGGAATCTAGCTAGCTAACACTTCCAATATAATTAAGAAAAAAAATTATGCCTTTCTGGACAGCAACCAGGCTAAAAGCTTACCATTTAATATTTTGTAATGAATGTACATCAGTGAACCAGCTCCTGGATATAACCCACTGTTTTAAATACGTGAATGCTCTTGTACAATGCAAATTTGTTTATTGAGATAACACCAGAAAGGAAGACGTTCATATGAATCAATAAATTAATTAATCATAAGTGACTGGCTATCGGATGTTAAAAAAATTGATTCAAGCTACACCAGTAATGAAGTCAGAACACGATGTATGATCTGATATTTCTCCAGGATTGCTACACCTGTAGCATTCACTGCCTTCAAATGTCATTAGTATATCTGTTCATATTTAGGAGGAATTATTCTTGAAGTTAATCCATAGGATAGGAACTGCCTCATTACCTGGAAGAGTGGGGGGGGGGGGGTTCAGATTACTAACAAAATTTTAAAATTAAAATTGCTCACAAACAAAGAGCATAAAAAATTCATTGGATGATCAGATGATGTCTGTAATAATATTGAAACCAAGGAAGATAAATGGCAAGAAATCTTCCTGCTCTTATGATACATACAAGCCTATGAAAGGATTTAATTATGTTAAAATAAACTTTTTAAACATAGCTAAGAGGAAATGTACCACTCCACTAGACAGCGACATGCATTCCTTTTGAACATGCTCAAGCAAAGTAGGTAGGCGTGCAAGTGGAAAAAGACATGCATTTCATTACCACATCCAAAAAGCAAAGCACAGCATGGGCAAGGGAATAGATTATGTCATGAGCACATGAAGACAGTATGGTTATGTATTGGAAGAATGTTACAAAACTGTCTGCGGTGGGTGTCAAGACATGACACACGACAAGGCATGAATTGAGACCTGGACAACGAGACGACTATGAGAGACTTGAGCAGACTTGAGCTTATGGTTTAACAAGTACCTTCAAGCATGGCTGATTATGGTTTAATAAGTAGCTCAGAGAACTAGTGTAGCATAGTAGCACTGAGACAAAGCCATGAAATGGGAGCCTTCAGTTCAAATCTCTCCTTTTCTATCAAGCCACTAGGTGACTTGAGGCAAGTCACTTTCCCTTCAACTGCCTCATGGGGGTAATGCTGACCTAGCTTACAGGGCTGTTAAGGATTACAAATGTGATGCTCTTAAAATACTCACATACTTTGAACAAGCCAAGCATTATTATAATTATTATTATTACTCCAAAACATAAATCATAAGAATGTAAATCACAAGAATAAATTATGGAGTACAGATGTAAATCAATAATATAGCCAGAGCATAACTTAAATATTAAAAGTGGGCAACTTATAATTTGAATGTGCATCTATTATCATATCATCAATATGATTATTCAAAGTGTCTATCTAGGAAGCTAATGACTCCACCATTAATGACTTCGCAACCTAAAGGCTTCTGCATGAGGCTGTTGACTAACAATAATAATAATACTTATTTCACATCATAGCTATCTTTAAATCGAAACAGAACATTTTTTATGAATACTACAGCTGAGTGCTGTTTTTTATATTTGTACCCTACCTTTCTCCAAGGAGCTTAGCATCCTAATTTAGCATCAGCACAACCCTATGCGGTAAATTAGGCTGAGAGGCAGCAATTTCCCCGGTGCCACCCAGGAGCTGCCTGACTGGGTGAAGATTCGCACATAATTCTTACTGTTACTTGTTACATTTGTTAGTCACTTAATACAAAAAAAATTTCCAAGGCAATTAATTAATTAATCAATTAAAAGCAAGGTAATTTTAAAGCACCAAACAACACAAGGGTGTTTCTCACCATACACTGCAAACCAGCTATTGACATTGCAGTCAATGGCAATGAAGTTTAATGGAAGTGTTCTGCAGGATTGGATAAGTTGTAGTTACCTAGTTACCTTGACACCTGCAAGTTTTATGCAGTCAAATTGATGGCCACTGCTCACAAATCTAATGCAGGTTCTAAGGAAAGAGAGTGTGATTCTTTCATGTTTAAGTACTGCTGACGTCAATGGATCAAGTTGTTTTAGCAGGACCTATTTGCGGCTACTAGATTTACTTGAACTCGGACTACTCTGTATCTACAGTTTTTTTAAAAAGTTATTTCAAGCCATGGGCAACCATTACATAATTTTTCTGAATCTGTAGTCTGCTTGAAGGAGTGACAGCTCTGACAGTTCCTGGTTTAGTTAATTAATAACTTTATTATGAGGAGATCATTTCCTAGAATGGAGGAAAAGGAGACCATTCCACTATTGGTGCTAGGTTGCCCAATTTCATTTCCCACTAGTTTTACACCCAACTCTTGAGGCAAGTCACCAGGAGTGCTGGGAAAAATCATTGCCAGAAGAAGAAAGGTGCTCTAAAGACAAATAGGAGGCATGTATGTCAACCCAAGAACAAACTGAACCATTATGTGCTGACGTTCATGTCCTTATTCCACTAATTTTGCCTGAATGCGAAGAACTTTCCCTGGCAGCATTTCAACAACTTATTACTGGAAAGTTGTCAGTGCAGTAGTCATGTAGCATCATTCCTGAAGCTCCCTGGGAATTCAGATTGTCACAGTTATTAGGAAGTGACCTTTCCCTCAGATTTTTTTTTAAACTTTATTTTAAGACCAAGCCAGCATGAAATTTCTCCATTGGGAGTAGTTGTGCTTCCTTCACAGATAAGGAAAACAACGGTGGCAAGATTCTGGAGCAAGGAGTTCCATCTATTTTGACAGTATATGGTACTGAGGTCTTGATAGATGCCTAAAGCAGTATGCCTAGCAATCAAAAGGAAAGAAAGAAGTGTGCTAAGGAAAACAGATACATAACCAAAAAGCATTTCTCTAAGTCTTTTCTTCTAGCAGTCCCAGGCTTAAGAAGGTGCCTCTAAGTGTTTGGGATTTTTTAACTTTTACTCCTAAAACAATACAGTGGTACCTCAGGTTACATACACTTCAGGTTACAGACTCCGCTAACCCAGAAATAGTGCTTCAGGTTAAGAACTTTGCTGCAGGATGAGAACAGAAATTGCACAGCAGCGACGCAGCGGCAACAAGAGGCCCCATTAGCTAAAGTGGTGCTTCAGGTTAAGAACAGTTTCAGGTTAAGAACGGACCTCCGGAACGAATTAAGTACTTAACCTGAGGTACTACTGTATTCCTTTGGATATAGTTTTGTTATTTAACTGAAGGGCTTCAATTCAGAGAATATAATTAAGCTCACTTTCCAATGAAAGCAATGAGACATGTTAAGCTATGGCTCATTTAAGTTCCATTAATTTCAAAATACCACAGGCATTATTTTTCTTTGGATTGGGACCTGTGTCTGGAATTTCAGATAAGCCCTTTAACTTTCATAACAACTGTTCTATACATGCTGTCTCCTACCCCTAACTCTCTTCGGTTCAGCTGCATAAGATTCCCCACTACTTCCCTAATAATCTAAAACCACTTCAAACAAAAGGGAAACACACACTTAACCAACCAAACCTTTCATCATAATTTCAAACTACAACAGCACTCCTAACATAGATGATCCGTGATCTTGACCCTCTACACACCTACTAAAAGTGGCTGATTGCAAAAAAGAAAAGAAAAGGAAGCTGACCACATCAGATATGCTAGCCAGGTTGTAAGACCCATTGCCCAAGACAGACACTGCGCTTTGCAGGCCATGTTAGGCACAGGTTCGGTGCATGTGAGCAACAAAATGACTGTGTGCAGTTGGGAATATGGCTCTCCAAATACACCATGCACCTTTTCTATGCTAAATCATCTTGTATAAATAGTTTTGGGCTTATAGTCTCCCTCCTTAGAAGCTTTCACTTCTGCTTTTTAGTTAACCACAGTTTGCCATGTTGTCTGGATCCAGAATTGTGGTTAACACTAACTATGGTTCACTTCAATAAGCCCACTTCATAAACCTTGGTTGGAAGTTGGTTTCTTTGATATTAACCACAGTTAGTGTTAATAGCATTTGCCACACCTGATAACACAAGCAACCCTGGTTAAGGGGGAAAGGAGGCAACAGTTCCAAACTCTTCCTCCGGGCTGTGCAGGAGAAGGGCTGTCTGCAGTTCATTCCTGCTTGCGCACCTCATACTAAAGTAAGGCTTAGCACAATGTGCAAATGTGGTGAAAGAAATGTGGTCTGTTTCTTTCACTACATGGAAAATATGAGTATAATTGCCCCATTTCAGGGAACTGTGACCTGTCTATCCTCTCCCCAATTTTCAAATGTGAAACTTAAATTCATTTATGCATTTGAAGTGTCTGTAACACAAGATTAACCCCAACTAGAATGGCAATCTTTCACTTTCTCTCCTGCATTAACAACAGTCACCACACACGGAGTTATTCAAGTTTAGATGTGTAATAAAGCAATCCAGAGTAATGAGAGCGCCATGCCTGACATCTCCTTAATGAGAGCACCGTGCCCAACATATCCTTAATTACATCACATTACATGCCCACTAAATTTCAAGGGAAAAGCTCTTTCTCTTTCAAGGCTGCAATCTGAGATCTGGGAATCAGACCCAATGAACTCAGTGGAGCTTGCTTCTGAGGAGACATGCATAGGATAATGCTGTAAATGACTGGAAAGTGGTGCTGATTAATTCTTATGAGAAGACAGGCGTAGGCATTTTTAAGAACAAAAATCTATATAGATTACATCACGGAATTTAATTTGCAATTAATCTGAAGCTAATCTCTTTACTTTAAGTAAGAAGAAAGGCATTACCCACATTAGATAAAGCCACATGGAGAGAAGACGGACCATAGGCACCACACACATTTGAGTAGGTGCAATTTATCTGAACACATCGCTACCATACTTTGAATCCTCTGCCTTATTTAATACCAAGGATTGTGACATCTGCAGAAGAAAAAAATGCTGCTAGTGTAAAGTAAAATGCTTCCCAGAAGGAAAAACCAATTGATTTTGCTAATCTTGTTTAACATAGTATTTCATATCAGTGTGCGTGTTTGGAAAATGATTCAGTCAGTGCTGTATCTGCACTTCTGTTGCTTTGGCATTCAGTTTCAGCAGAGGTATACAGCGTAGCTCCGAAGAGTTTATTTACGGAAGGCAGGATTGAACTTTGCAGCATGTGAACACACACAGAATTTGATAAAGATATTTGTGTCCCATTAATTTACAGAATTGTGATTTGCTACTCCCAGCACACCTATAATTGAATTCCAAAGCCATAAAATCACTGGGATCAAACTGGTTCAGATAGCCCTTATCAGGGCCTCCTTTTTCTTGACATATTTCTTATGTAACCGTTCTTCTTTTTATAGATTCATTTGCTTTAGTTACAAATTAACTCTGGAATGGACTCTCCCATAGACTAAATACTACAATCATCTTTTTGAATACTACATAAAAGAACCCAAACTTTAGGACACTGACGTATAAATTTCAAAGAAACGGAGAACTCTACACTTATCTGCGTACATGCTTAGATGCTTTTAGAGATGTTGTCGAGGTTAGAAACTGAAAATGGTGAAATAAAAAGTGCTCTTTTTCATAAATGCTGTAAAATTATGAAATTGGACTGCAGCCCTTGCCCAAGTCTGAAATTTACTAAATGCAAAATCTTTATTGATTTAAATGATATTCTAGTTCTGCTCAAATACATAAGCCTAGGAACACATCTGGACAAGATAAATTCTCCTTCTCAATAAGGCCAATATACCCTCCCAAAATATATGAGGGCATCTCTGCTCCTTCCACCACCCCTGCTCTGCCCCTGTTGCTCTTGCATAGTGCAGGTAAACATCTCCCCAAGTAAGCCAAAGCCCAATTCACAGCTGGGTCCTAATGCCTCCATGCAGGAGAAAGTTTCAGGAGATGCACAGGTATTCAAAATCAGAGACACTTTCTCTAATTTTCTTTTTTAAAAATCATATTGATTTTCAGATAAGCAAGAAGTTGGACAAATATTAAAGCTGTACAATATGCTTATTTGCTATATTTGCTATATATATGCTCTTTGCTATATTGTTATATTTTGTATTTTACTTTGGGGGTGGGGATTTGTTCCTTTTCTAAACCTTTTCTTTTAAGCTTCTTGCCTTATATATCAGTCCAAAGCAGACTTTGATTTGCTGGACATTAGGGCCAAACTAAAGGTGAGGTCACGGCATTTGGGGAGCTTCCCGACCACCAACACACTGCTGCAGCCCTTATGCTGACGGTCCCCTCTTCTAAAAGCTGCTGTTAATCGTATACAATATTTGTGGGGTTAAAATTCTAAGCCTACACATGTTCTACTCCACAACTAAAAACAGCTCTGGGTTGCAGCCAGGTCTCATTCAGCCTTAATTTTGAAACAACAGCGAAGCGTCAAGACCCCCACACAACAAATAGTTTGGACCCAAGATATCTGAACACTGTTCAAATACAATTTCTCCCAAGGTAACGATGCTGAAATATATCCAAACTATATCAGTCTTATTGAAAACTATTACCTTGCTTAGTATGTGCCATGACATCTCTCAGTCTTCCTCTCTCTGCTCTTTCCCCAATCATTTGCAAAATCCAGCTTTGTTCCCTCACCCTAATTTATAGCTCCCAACTCAAGCTGCTTATTGTTTCACATTTTGCTACTGGTTTATCAATCTGTTCTTACAGTTTTTGGAGAATCTTATACTTGATAAGTAGCTTGTTGTTTCTATCTGCACTATTATCTTCTATATGAGGCCACCCAGCCTTCTTTGTTTTGTCTTTGCAAAATAATGGTATTTTAGCAGGATAAGCAAAGGAAAAGAGGCTTTAGCCGTCAAAGCAAGCCATCATTATGAACTCGAGCAGAAGCTGCAGGATTTCTTCACTAAGGCAACATATTACTTACATTAGCAACATGCCTAATATTTTAAATTTAAGTTATTAGTTTGTCATCTTGAATTCTTATTGCCTTTAATGCCAAACTTTGCTGATCCTGTCTCTTACCAGTTCGAAACTACTACAGGATAAGGTATAAATATAAGGTGCAGATTTCTAAATACACAGAGAGGCTCCCTCAGAATGCAAATACCTATTGTACATTTTCTTTTAGAATCCAGAAAATAGAACTGTTGGGCCAAAAATGTTCATAGAGTCAGCTAGGTTGGGGGAGGGAGTTACTACCCCTATACTATATAGAATCATAGAGTTGGAAGGAACCATGAGGACCATCTAGTCCAATCCCCTGAAATGCAGGAGCTCAAACTCACAACCCTCATGCTCTAATAACTGAACTATCATTGGCCTAATAATATGGGGATGTTTAAGCTGGGAGGAAAGCACAAGGGACACATTTTCCCTTCCCCACTCTCCAAATCGCATTATACTCAGGACCTTGTGTTTTACTTTTTTTAAAAAAGTCCAATATCATGCACAAAGCAGCCCTGAAATACATTTTTACATTAAGGCCATGGTTAAATGATATAAATCATAACTAGGCATTATGTCTGCACAGATCCATTGCCTTTGCATGCAATCCCTTTCCTCCTCTCTTCCCAGCTTACCAAAATTACACCAGGAAATCTTTATTAAAAAAAAACCTGTGGCTATGTGAAAACTGGGAAACAACAGACACAAGGTTTGGAACAAACCAGCATTTTCAACCAACTTCAAACCCTCAGGAAGGGAGAAGAAAAGAAACTGCAGACATGAGCACAAAACTTCCTAACATCTCAGTTTATTAAGTCATGATATGACCATCCAAACACAGCCTCTGTCTCTCTGCAAGTCTTCACCTTCAGCTGCTATAAGACTAGCAAAATGGTATAAAATTATGTAGCTGATTAGGCACCCTCAGATGCCACTGAGCAAACTGGTGCACATGAAACAGACAGACAGACAGACACACACACACACACACACACACACACACACACACACACCCCTCACTGATATAATACCCAGCTGATAGCAGGGATGGAGCATTTAATCTATTACTCCACATCCCATCCCTGTTATATTATCTTCTGCCCAGTATCACTGGAAAATAATGGAAGTTATACATATTGCAGAAAGAGCAACAGCCTTCCCAAAGACTAATATTCTGTTGCTTTCACAACATGTACTAAAAATTCCAGACATTGCCAGATGTGGGCATATTTCAAGAGCAGACTGGTTTGGGGGAACGGTTCCAAGGCAACCTCTGAGATTTTCCCCCTCTTTCATAATAATATATACTCTAAAAATACTAACACAATTAACTTTTAAAACCTCACCACCACACACTTCCAAATTTTTCCCTTCAGCTCCTGTGTGAACCCTTCTCCCTATAGTCATCTAGAAACACTTTCAGTTTCTGCTTCTTCCAGAAAATTCGGCCGGCATCCCAGAACTCCTGTCTTAACACAGTTAATCCCATCTTACTTTGCTTTCTGAAAAATAATGTATACAAAATATGGCAAAAACAATATGACTCCTATGTCTCAGAGCAAAGATATTGCAAATATTCCAAAATACTGTGAACACAGAACATATTATAGGCTTTGCAAATTCCTGCCAGCCATCCCATGCATTTTTCTGTATGGAGAAGCGCTTCTTGTTTGGAAAACAACGTTTTTTTTAAAAAACATTAAACAAAGATAAGGCACTTGGAAAGACTTTCTAAATCATCACTTGAACTTTCGCCTACATAGAACCAGCATCCTGTCAGTCAGAAATGAATGGAAAGATGTGCACATGACTTTCACAACCACAACATTACATCACATCATACGGTGGGTGCAACAGTGAATGATGCATGGGATCAGCTGTTTAATGCGGCGTCTGCAACTCTCTGCCACTATAGAAAAACTGTATTCGTGAATAAAATGAGACAGAAATAAATGTAGGAATAATGCTTCTGCAGAAGCTAATTCAGGAATTAGCACTTTTAGGTGATGACACACAGAACACTGAACATAGTGTTTATTGCATTCATGTCCCACTTTTTTGTCCATGGTTCACTCCTTTTCTCAGTTAATCCATACAACAACCCATTGAGGTACGATAAGAGGCTGTGGCTGGTCCAAGGTCGCCCAGTGAGCTTCATGATTTGAGTGGGGATTTGAACCCTGATCTTCCAGGTCCTAGTCTGACACTCTAACCACTACACCACATATTAGGTGTCAACTTTTCCCTTTTCTTGCGAGGAATCCTATTCGGAATAAGGGAATTTCCCTTTTAGAAAGGGAAACATTGACAGCTATGCACCACATTGGCTTCCTAGATTATTTCTGTTATGCCATGAGCTAAACTAAGTACAGTGGTGCCTCGCAAGACGAAATTAATCCGTTCCGCGAGTCTCTTCGTCTAGCGGTTTTTCGTCTTGCGAAGCAACCCTATTAGCGGCTTAGTGCTATTAGCGGTTTAGCGGCTATTAAAGGCTTAGCGGCTTAGCTGCTAAAAGGCTATTAAAGGCTTAGCGGCTTAGAAAAAGGGGGGGGAGCGAAAAAAAATATCAAGACTCGCAAGACATTTTCATCTTGCGAAGCAAGCCCATAGGGAAATTCGTCCTGCGAAGCGCATCGAAAAATGGAAAACCCTTTTGTCTAGCGGGTTTTCCGTCTTGCGAGGCATTCATCTTGTGGGGCACCACTGTAGATAAATAAATATGGGGAAAGCAAAATGTTACTTGGAGAAGGATCTGAAATATATTCCTTGAAGAGTGAATTTCTTTTATTCTGGATTGTTTTATTTGATGTTTTCGTGTGTTGTAAACCACCTTAAGATTTTTCTTTAAAATATAAAGTGGTATAGAAATGAAAATAATAATAATAATAGTGATCAAAAAGAGTTTTAAAAAAGATCAGGATGACGGGTTTCAAAGAGAAAGTATTGGCAGCACAGCATAATAAAATGGATGTGAATTATAGAACACAAATACATAGATCATTATGCATTTATGAGTATATCTTCCATGTGTTTTATTTCACTTATATACTGTTTTTCAGGTGTAATCAATATTTCAAAGTAGTTATGATTATATTAAACCAGAACATCATCACCAACGAAAAGAGTTACTGCCAGACAGGAATTCAACAACCAGGTTGGACTGAACTAACAGAAAAAACTGAATATTGGGGGAATATTTTAAATTCATTGTGAGGATCGCTAGCTTTCTTTCTTTCCAATCTGGTGATATAAAATAGTAGAGGAACATGGTGCCTAACCTAACCCAAAAAAGTAAAGGATAATGGAAGATAGCCCAGCTCTAATACACTTACTTGGAAGTAAACCCCACTGAACTCAGTGAGATTTATATCCAAGAAGACATGCATAGTATTGCACAGCAAATCAAAGTGATGAAGGTGTATGCATTTTAGTTATAAAGGTTTGAATGTACTCAGGTTTTCCCAGATGCCTCACAAAAGGATAAGGCGGGGAGAAAGATTAGCAACCAGAGGTAATTTCATGAAATATGTGGTTGATATATTGACTACCAGCACTATCAAGCAGTCAGTTATCACATTAAGTAGTACACAACCCACTCAGCATCATATAGCCATCAGCAGCTGAAATCTCTGGGCTCACTCAAGACTGACAGATAATAATTAGCCCATGGCCAGCATGGAAGGCAGCTGTTCCTATATTTTGGAACTTAAGTGTTTTTTGTTCTTGGTGTTTTTACTGCATATTTTCTCATGTACTTTAAAATGCGGAACATGATTCATAACAATAAATAAGTAAATAAATAAATGTTGTTATCGGTGTGGATTTCTGAGTTATGAAAGACTGGTGTTCTGGCCAGAATAATTATTTCAAAATATGTCAGGTCTTGTCTCAGTTTTCATCCTCAATCCATGCAGGAACAGCAGGATCATACTGAAGAATGAATAATAAAGTTTTATCTTAAGAGATTCTTGGAAGGACGGAACTCTGCTTTTAAAAACACAGTATGAACTTCCGGTCTTATGCTTATTATACTCATGAGCAAGGCTCACTAATTGTTCTGGGACTCACTGGTTGTTATTGGAAAAAGGATATCAACTTTTACCGTTGATGGGTTCAGAATCTACATGCATGTGTTTGATGTTTCATAAGATACAGCCTTAGAAACCCTTCACTGGTTGTACTCACACTAAGAGAAACTAACAATCAAACACAAAACCCAGGACCTCATAGTTGGTAGAGTGACCCAAGTGTTAACTTTTAACAACCTAGTCCTACAAATAAGGTCCACAGTATCTGGCCGCACTGCTGGTTTGTGTCATCCAACAACTGTAGCAGTTAAGTACTAAGTCCTTATTTTGCTGGAGTAGCAAGCCTGGCAATCAATCAAAAACTTAAGTTCTGTTCATAGAATCATAGTATATAAAGTTGGAAGGGACCCTGGGGGTCATTTCAATAAGGTTTGAGCTTAGCTAGCTCCCTCTCACTGTAGACTTCCAAAAAGAAATAACTGCCATGGGGAGGGAGGGTCTTGTGCAAATAAATATTAGAAAATGTGTGTCACCTTTTCCTTAAGCTCCTAATACAGATAATCAAAGTGCTTGTGCTGTAAAACCTGTTCTTCTGACCATCACTGCTTCGATTATCAGCCAGTTACAAAAGCCTGTAATTAACATTTTTCTTTTCATATCACCTGGCTTGAAGTAACAAACAGCCTTGTATTATTAAGATCCGAATCTCTCTCACAATTTTGATGCAAAAAGGACCCAAAAAGCATTATTTGAAATGATAATTTAGCATATATATGGAATATTCAAGAAGCTACAGAATATCATATGTTCAAAAAGAAAAAGAAAAAAACCCACATCTCACTGCCAAGGTGCTTAAAGAAGTCCTACCCAACATTTATATACCCTATAGCAGGGGTAATCTACATTTTTGGAGAGTAACTGTCCCACTGCAGCACTGTGACATAAGAAAGCCTTTCCCTGAGGAAAAAAAAAATTAAGTGCAGTACATTGACAAAAGCACATATTTTGCATGCATAAGGCTCCAACGCACGCATTTCAAGGACCAGAGCTGGGAATGATCTCTGCCTGAGTCCCTGAAGAGTACCTGTCAGAATACTGAGGTCAACTAATAAATACTCTGATTCAGTATGTAAGTCAGCTCCTGATAGCATTGGTGTGGTGCTCACTTCAAAGCCAAGCAGGAAGTGCATTCACTCCAAAATCCTACAATTTTGTTCAGTAGTTCAGTATTTCTCTACTGTATCTGCTTTCTAGTATATATAGCTGGAAGTGAAGTGTTACCACTTTGGAAGAAGAAGAGTTTGGATTCTATATCCCGCTTTATCACTACCCTAAGGAGTCTCAAAGCGGCTAACAATCTCCTTTCCCTTCCTCCCCCACAACAAACACTCTGTGAGGTGAATGAGGCTGAGAGACTTCAGAGAAGTGTGACTAGCCCAAGGTCACCCAGCAGCTGCATGTGGAGGAGCAGGGAATCGAACCTGGTTCACCAGATTACGAGTCCACTGCTCTTAACCACTACGCCACACTGACTCTCAGTGCCCTCAATCTTTCCCAGCATCAGGGTCTTTTCCAGAGAGTCTTCTCTTCTTATGATGTGGCTGATTTCCTTAAGAATGGATAGGTTTGATCTTCTTGCAGTCCATGGGATTCTCAAGAGTCTCCTCCAGCATCAATCAATCAATCAATCAATCATCAATCAATCAATCAATCAAAAGCATCAATTCTTTGGTGATCAGCCTTCTTTATAGTCCAGCTCTCACTGGACCATCTATTATTATTTTTAAAATCACCCCACCTCCCTGCAGATAGAAAAATGCCGTATCTGGATGAAGCCCTGAGAGGTTCCTTTTGTTTGTGCAGTGAGGTTTAAAACAAACAAACAAACAAACACAGTGGCATTCAACTTGTATGTGAACTGAACTAAGCTGAAATGACATAGTTTAGGAAAAGCTTCATTACTTAATTCTCCAGTTATCTAGGAACAAGTTTTTATTTTCAACAGTTTCTAATGGGTTTTAAAAGATGCATTCAGAGAAATATAGCTGGAAGAACCATGGCTGAATATTTTCCTGTTCAACAGGAATGAAGATCAAGAGAAACCTACAGTTATCCCACTCAGACATGAGAAAGAATAAAGGAATCCCAGATCCTCAGGCAATTTGTTATCATCACTGCTGAGCTGTAAAACAGCATGAGAAAACTTATTTTACAATCCTCCACACCTATGAATATATTTGACCACTCTGCTACAACAAGACAGTGGTTTGATGACCAACAGACAGCAGAAACTATTCTAACCTGCAAATGTGTTACATACATTAATCTAAATATTACTCACTCTCCAAAGCTGTATTCCTGTCTAGAATCGCCGCCACCCCCGCCAAACACCAAATAATACAACATGAAAACATAGATTCCTCACTGAAAATATTTCAGAGTATCTAAATATTAAGAATATTGCTTACCATAATTCAATCAGAATAATTTAAATAGATATACAGGAGGGATTTAAAACAAAACAAAAGAAAAACAACTTTTGGTTTGGGTCATAGTAAGGAAGGAAGGACAGACGGGGTGCATAGAATACTCAGGAACAGCAACAGATATACAGTGGTACCTCGGGTTACATATGCTTCAGGTTACATACGCTTCAGGTTACAGACACTGCTAACCCAGAAATAGTACCTTGGGTTAAGAACTTTGCTTCAGGATGAGAACAGAAATCGTGTTCCGGCGGCGCAACGGCAGCAGGAGGCCCCATTAGCTAAAGTGGTGCTTCAGGTTAAGAACAGTTTCAGGTTAAGAACGGACCTCCGGAATGAATTAAGTACTTAACCCGAGGTACCACTGTATAAAGCAGCAGGACGGGGCCATGATAAGAGACTGGCACCTTTGATGGATGCACATTAAAATGGAAATGCATTACTTTCCTGTGATTTTTGAACTTTTGCAGAACCAGAATGCACACAGACTTCTGTCTCCAACTATGCATCAAACTACATAAAACAGCAACTTATATGATATCCCCATTTAAAAACAAAACAAAACAAATAAAAACAACAACAAAACACAACAACAAAACAAAACACAGTCATAGGAGGTTGGAACAGGGAGTGGGGGGAGCCTTCACTTCTCCACTTCTCCAAATTCTACAACCCCCACCCACAAGCTGTTTTGCTCACCACCTGGAAGGGGGGGGGTGACAGGGTCCTCAGAAACCTTTTCCCCATGAGTGGGAAAGTGGTTGAAGGGGCATGTGAAGCGGTCAGACTGCAGAGAGTGAAAGGGTTAAGCCACCCCTCCCCACCTCACTTGTTCCTCAGCGCAGCTTCCAGTAGTTGCTCTGTGGCTAGAAAACTGCATTTGGTCTGGAGGAAGAATCTCAGGGCTGGTCATATCACCGGCCCTATGAAACTCGGACACGCCACATCAGGGACGTGCGTGTGCTGTGAGGTGTGGCGGGGGGGGGGGAGGGAGCCTGCATCCAATCCTATTCTTGAAACCCCTATTACAGCAATGGACAACCGAGTTCATCTCTGAGGGCTAGATCAGAAGATACAATAAGCCGCAGGCCATGGCTAATCTGAATTTCTTTCCCCCCTGAAATTAACATAACTCACATAGCACTGTCACCATGGATGCCAAAGTAGAGTACAAATGTATTTATTCAAAATATATTTATTTCGACAGAAAAACAAAACCTGATGCGAGACAGCTTATCGCAGATTTAAACATCACAGCCAGAATATTCACATCACCTCAGACACAAGTCCTTTCAATGGAAACTGCTCATATGCTGGCCTGCAGCAGTGTGTGTTTGTGTGATAGGCACGCCAGTGTGAATCATTCCTTAGTTTCAACTCAGATTTATCTTTCTACCTGTGATAGTTTTGCTATGCTAAAAAAACCAAACCCCAATACTGTTACAATAATGAATAGATGGACCAAAGCTTTCTTCTCCTTTTTTTTAAAAAAAACATTGCTAATTATCAACCAGCAATGTAGCAAGTAAATGACTTGTTGTTCAGTAAGATGGGACTTTGGGATTTGTAGTATTGAATTCATAGACTTTGTCCTGGCTCTGTAAAGACTGCCTGGTATGCAGATGATATGCTTAGTCATGAGGAAAAGAGGTGGCTTCGGCATGTCTGTGGACCATCACCAGTCCATCGATTGATTTTAGGAGTTCATGAGTCTAATGAGTCAAGTAGCTCAGCTGGTAGAGCCTTAGACTCTTAATCACTGGGTTGTGTGTTCAAGCCCCCACGTTGGGGAAAAGATTCCTGCATTGGACTAGAATGAAATCTCGGGGTCCTTTCCAACTCTGTGATTCTATGAGCCAGATGTTTTATCTAGCTGAAAAAGACTGATGGGGTGTTAACCCTTCAAAAGGCTCTTACACACTGACACACACTATTGCGTCTCACAAAACAATGCAGGCTTGCTGGCAAAGTAGAATGCTGTGGTGCAGCTTCACACTGTACATTCTCTAATAGCATCTACACATAGCAGTTCCTGTAAGGCTATAAAATTGTTCAGTCACAGACATCTTCATTAATAATAATAATAATACTACTACTACTAATAATAATAATAATAATTAATAATAACAACTACTACTACTATTTCCTGTGTCTTCATGGTACTGCAAATGGTTCAAGTATGTGTGGGGCAGTAGATAAGCATAGTATTCTAACCTTAGAAACATAGGTTCACAATATTGGAAGCCATTATTCCTTTGCATCAGTGTGAAATTGCCCATACCAAATTTGCTATTTGCCCTTATTACTCAGTGTGCATACAGGCACAATTGTCATTTACAAATATCAGCCTTTTTTTGCAGCAGATGATTTCTATGCATATTATAGGAAATAAATGTTTGTGGCCACTGACCCATATGTCTGTTGAGGGAAAGCCCCTAATAACATTGACTTTGGCACATTAAATGACTGTGCAAATCTCCCCTAGATTTCTGATTGTTGTGAAACTATTATCTTCTATTCCAAAGGTTTTTTTTATGTATGTGGAGGAGATAAATACTTCACTCCTGTCAGTCCCTTTGCATGTGTCCAAAGGATTACAAGCATGCGCTGCAGATTTTATTTCCTTTCTCCTAAGAGAAAGCCTTCAGGATCACACCAGAAGCTGCTTTTTAATGCCACACAGAAAAAAAAGAAAGAAACAAAAAAAGCTTTTGATGGTGATGGTGGGATGGAAGTCTCTGTTTCAACACAAAACATATATCGTCCCCTGTGCATTTCTGGGCTGCGGCCACTTTTTAATAATAATAATAATGATAATAATCGGGAGGATGTAGTGTGCCATACTTTGGGGTACTTTGTGAGACTATATTAGTTGATTACTTCCTAATTCCTGCAGTAGCAATTAATTCCAATGATAATTCATTTTTCAAACCGTGTCTACATATCTCAAGGTGCAGAAGTAAAAGTTGCAGTAACATCTCTTTAACTCAATCTGTGATGGAAACTTTGTGACTTGAGAAAGTGCAAAGAAGTTTCAAGGAAGCAATACTAGCCCTTGACACGAGTAGCTTAGGTAATGGGTACTACTGCAAAGTCCACTCAGTTCATTCTGATAAACCACTTCAGTTACCATCTTAAAACAGTTTGTACAATGAAAACTGCTATTGAAACAACAGCAAAAACAATTATTGTACTTTCAGAGTGTATGTGTGTTCAGTTGTGTGTACTTTGCTGAATTAGTGCAAAAGGTGTAGATGCTTGAGGGAGTGAGCTTGTCAAATCATAGAATCATAGAGCTGGAAGGAAAGCAGGCATGCATCAGCACAGAAGCAAATGTTATCATCTGGCCAGGGCACACCCACATATCAGTCAATGGGACTGATCAATTTTTGCAAGTCAAAAAGTGTAGAGTCTCACAGATTGAGCCTCTGAAATCAACAGAATGAATGCTGGTCCACAGGTCACTTTAAACCACAGTTAAATTATGGTTTAATGGTGAATGTACAATGTACTGGTACATGGAGCAAAAAATTGTGAGTGCTTCTTTCCTCTCCTACTCCTGCTGCCACACTGCTGAGAGTTAAAGCCATGGTTTGATTTAGTTTTATGTGTGTACAGTTTGTTTCTTTCCAAACTAAACAGGCTGCTAAACTTTGTTCTTTGCTTACTGCTTATGGTTTGTTTGGAGGAAACAAACTGTAAGCCTTGGCTCCAGTGTAATGCCAAGCCAAACCATGACTTAGCCCTCTGCAGCTAAGCTTAACTGTTGTAGGTATAAAGATTGGATAATTCTGAGTTAGTTATCTAGAACGGTGATCTTCAGCAAACTTACTGAGAAATTCAATTTGAAAGTCAATATACTTATCCCAGAACTGCCATCCTATGCATACTTAGCTCAGGATACTTCTGACTAAACATGAACCAAACTGAGCTATAAGTGAATTTTGGATTAGAGTGTTTGAATCAAATTTACTGCAAGATATGTATTTCTGTGGCTCAGTTTGCACACAGCATTTTTCATGTGAACAGATAATCTTATACATGTCTACTCAGAAATAAGTGCCATTAAGTGAGATGGGACTTGTTTCCATGTAAGTATAGGATTGCAGCCTAAGTATAGAAAAAATGCAAAAAAAAACCCCACCCCTCTGCTTTCATGTATAAAAAAGGGTACAAATGTTTATTATGCCACAGCTTACATAGGAACCAAGGGATTGCCTTAACTTTGTAATTAAATTGATTTCAGTGTGGACACATGCCCCCATTTTTCACAAACAACTTTGTGGATATAATGGAACATACATTTGTGTAGAGTATCTATACCCTATCTATGCAACAGAGCTGCTATGGAACTTTTTGAAAAGTCTTGAAAAGCTCACATGAGACATACCTTAAGAATAATGTTCCAGCGTGGGAACAAACAGTAGGATATACTGGCTATCAACAATAAACCCATTTTCACTCACTTGTCAATAACATGGCGATAACATTGGCTGCAATTTTATGTTCAATTTCCTTTTTCATGCTCTCGCTCACATTAAGAACTTTCACACATGACACAACTGGTGGGAGAGTTTTTCAACTGTGTTTTTTTAGCTTCACAAGGGGAAACAGTCTCAGCCCAAGACAGCCAGTCTGTGGTGTAATGATCACTTTGACAGCTCACATTAAATAGGTGATTCACAAATTAACGTGAGCATAGCTCTGTTGATATCACTGCACCCTAAACTCTTCCTTCCCCAGAATGCTGCGTTGCACATATCTTCTTTTTTTTAAAGACTTTGTTAAATTCCAAATTTATTATTTGAAAAGGTGTTCAGATGGTATCCAACCTAGGTAATTTCAGAGTAGAAATTACCAACAGAAACGTATAGCCCCAACTTAAGTCATGTTTGTTAATTTAAGTAGGTCTTCTCTAACACCAGTTGCAAGCCATATGTTTCTGAACAGCAGTTGTTATGTCATCCATTGTCACAACTCTTGTAGGGATAAGGACAGGAAATTTCAAGAGTATAATTTTTCATTAACAACCCTATATGTAAAGCTATCTGATTTTTCAGAAGCTGCCATCAAGAGCAATTACAGTTTTTACATGAGGGGCTCCAGGCTCCAGGAAAAGAACAGTTTCCTCACCATATCACAATAATGCAAGGAGAAGAAACTGGTCCTCTGCCACAGCAGTACAATATTAAATCATGACCTTGTTACCACGGTGGATCATAACTCACACATATTGCCTCAAAGTTACAACACTAACAGGAACTTGCAGTCTATAGTGTATACTGCCCTAGGGAGAAATGACAGTGGGAAACTTACAAAACACGCCTGCAGATTTGGGATATGACACCAAGGCATCATCTATTTCACAATGTATAATCTCTGTTGTGGCAGGATTATACTTGGAACCTCGCTCATGCTCCTTGCTGTGGTTCGGAAAGCAAAGAGAAAAATTATGATTTTAAAAAAAAATCCACCAGAAGTTTCAGCTAAATGAGGAAACAAACTTTCTCCCTTTCTCATCATCTTGACTAAACACATTCATTAGCACCACAGGTAGAAGAGGTGCCCTCTGAGTTTTTAGCATCCCAGATGTAGCAACGGTGGACAAGTTTCTGCAAACAAACTGTCCTGCATTATGGGCATATCCACCTGCGGCATAGACAAACGAAAGCCCACTTAATGCATCACCTCCAAAGAGCACATATATGTATTTATATAGCCCTTTCTTCCACATGATGAACGTAAACCACAGAGTTCTGTAAGGATCACAGACAGAATTCCTATCAAGAATGCGTTCTCATTCCCATTACAGCATGAGGAAGATGCAAAGGCAGGCCACATGTGCCCCTCACCAATAGAGGTCTGGGAGATTTTATTCCCCCCCATTTCACGAAGGCAGTACTTGCCAGTAAATCTTTTGCCATCACCTCTCCCCTTTTTATCTGTATCTAGATTCTATCCCATTGGATTTCTTTAACCTGTAATTAACCATTATTTAATAGGTGGTAGCATAGGCGTAGCCAGGATATGTTGGGGGGCAGGCTTCATGTTAGGGGGTGGCAGAACCTCAGTTCGTTAAGCATTTTTATTAATTTACTTGATTTTTTTGGGGGGGGGACAGCTTCCCCCTGCCTCCCCTTGGCTATGCCCATAGGTGGTAGATGTGCGCATGGCACAGGCAAAAACACACTCAACACTCTGCCTAGAAACACACAGACTTCTTCACACTAAATGAGTTCAGGGTCTACTTCTGGAGGTCATGTAAGTGATTCCCTAGTGGCCCCCGACCCCAACCATACCTGCTCCTTTCAACCCCCCAGCCCACCCCTCGGAAACCTCAGTCTCTAGCTCATTCCCTACAAAACTTTCTGAGAGCAAGTGAGTTCTGCTCTCCCAGACGACCATTCAGTATATAGACAGCCCGCCTTCCCATTCCCCGCTCTCTCAACCCACAAGCCAGGTGTCCTGGCGCCCCACAGGGATGCCGCTGTCCCCTCGTGCCCGTCTCAGCCCCACAAGCCCTTCGCGACGCGCAGCCTCCCTCCGTCCCTCTACAGACCCCAGGCACGCGCCCCCACGGATCGGGCGGGAATTCCCTGCAGCGTCACGCCGCCGCCAGACGCAGCCCCTCGGCAGGCAGGCAGGCGGGCAACGCCGCCCTCCCGTCCATCCACCCGCTTCCCGCCGCGCCGCCAGAGGCTCTGGCTGCCTCTCCGGCTCACACACTGACCTGGCGCTGTCAACTCGGCAGCAGGAGAAACTCTTCCCGTCTAGTGGCATGAACTCCCCCGCCCGGCCCGTCTAGGGACAGGCGCCGCCTCCCAGGGCTCACGGCGCCGCTGCCCCGCCCGCCGGCCAGCCCCGCGTCCCACCCACCCTCGGCGGCACCCGTGTGGAGCTGGCCGGAGCGAGGCAGTTTGCGCCTGTCGGGCCAGGAGGAGGCGGCGCGGGGGGCGGAATGCCCACGGGGCCACGCGAGGCCCTTGTGTGGGAGGGAGGGCGCGCGCGCGTGTTTGGCGCGCCGTGTGCCGTGAAGGGCGCTGAGGGGCGAGGTGGCACGGGCATCTGCTCTGCAAATGGACTGGGGCTGGGGGAAGTGAGGGGCCGTCGAGGCTGTCCCATGGCTCTTCTGTGGCCAAGAGGAGTGGACGCAGCGTGGCCCATGGGAATAATGCGCGTGGCCGAGGTGCTGCCGCAGGGTCAGGCCATTGACCTACCTTGCGCTGTGCTCCCTGCACTGGCTGGCAGCGGCTCTGCAATGGTTCCTGCGCAAGGTTCTCCCAGCCCTACCTGGAGATCGAACCGGGGACTTTTTTGCATCCATCCCTAATCTGCCCGCCTCTGTCCTGACTCCTTCAGTTCTCCACCAGGGGCAGGGAACCTTCACTTGCTTGCTGGACCTAGAGAAGTGGTGACTACTGCTCCTCAGGCCCAGGGGTCCGAGGTGGAGGGGGGGTCCCCAACCTGCTGTGGCCAGAATTAGGGGGACAGTGAGTGGGGGCCAAAGAGCAGGTCCATTGGCTCATCTTTGGCAGGAAGGTCTGCACTGGCAGCAGCTCCCCAGGGTTTCAGATAGGCACTTCTCTTCAACACACCTGGAAATGCCGAAAATTGAACCAAATGGAAGCACCCATGCACAAAAGAAGGCACAGCTGTGTTACCTGTGGTGCAACAGTTGGGACTGGACACGCCAAACCAGAGAGAATGGCTGTGGTTGCTCACTGTCTTGCTATCTGCCCACCCACCCACCACTCCCAGTGGCATGTCAATTGGGACTGGACCCAGCAGGTCCAACATTCCACTGCAACACCCAGAGGGACTGGGCAGAGGTACTTCCTACCAGTGTTGCTCACTCGCCTGACGGAGGAGCCCACATTTGCTCACTTACCCACTCCTTGGTGGCAGTGCTGGACCCTGCCTTACTGCTGCTCAGAGAAGAAGAGGACAGACAAGTGAGTGGAGGGGGCAGCTACTTTGTAGTGGCACTCGCTTGTCTGGTTTTTTTTGGATGAAGAGGAGGAGGAGGGAAGGTGATGCTGTGTAGGTAACAGCAGCGCATCCCAGAGGAGGCCAAAAAGACCCAGGGTGTGCTCCACTGGCAGTGACATCACCTGCTCTTCAGTGGTAGCTAGTCAGGGGCTGGCACCAATGAGATCCTGAAGAGGCCTTGGTAGTTGGCCGGTAGTGGCCGCCTCTGATGCCAGCCCTGACTTGAACCAGGAGGCATTGCTAAGGAACGGTAATTTCGTTCTTTAGAAAAAGAAATGGAATGGTAAGGCACAAAGCCGGCCTGGAATTTCTTCAATCTAATTATTTTAACAAAACCTGTGTGGTGGTGAAGAAACAATAGTCTGTATGCATTCAAAAGTGATGTTCCAAGGCCTTTGCCAACCTGGTGCCCGCCAGATGTTGTGGATTACAGCTCCCATCAGCACAGCTATGCTGCTACTGTTGTGTCCCAAAACATATTTGGAGGGGGCCCTGGGTTGGCAAAGGCTGGGTGCGTTCTTGGGGTGGAATTCTTTCTGATGAGTTCTCTCTCCCATTAAGCTCTGTCCATATGAAGCTGTGAACAGGAAGCGAGTGCTGCCATTGGCAGAGTCAGGAAGGTGACAAACTCTCCCTACATAGCAGAATCTTTCCAATATTATTGTGGGGGTGGGGAGGTGCTAATATGGGAAAGTTGGTAAGGTAGTAGCAAAAGCTCAAGCGACTGTCATTGGATAAGATGCCAACAGGAAACAAAGTGGTTTTCCCCCCTTCCAGGGTTTACGGGTTTTGCATGATGTTGTTGCAGAATTGTTGCAAATTTCTTGTCAGGGATCCAGGTGTATTCCCTAGAGAAGCACTTCTGATGCAAGGGGCACTCAATTCCTCAACGTGCAAGGCGCCATGGATCTGATCCAGCCAAAGCAACTGCAGGCCTTGATGTACTAAGGGGCAATATTTTGCGGTGGGGAAAACTTTGCACTTCTATAAGCACATATAAAAATTGCAGATAGCTAGCACCATCTTTAAAGGGAATCATCCCATCTTTTCGCTCAGGTAGGGCAGATGCCTCTCCGAAGATGATGCTTGCTAGGAAACAGTTGCTTCATTTGAAAAACAAAGAATGTTTCTTGTTCCGTTACTATTGGTTTTACCTAATTTTTGCAAATTTAATTAAGAGCTGATTAAGTCCATGTCTATACATGTTTGTGAATTGTTTGAAGTGATACTCTTTTTAATTAAACAAAAAGCTTTGTTAGACTCTAATGCTCCCACATTGTATAACTCAAATATGTAGCTTGAAAACAGGTGTGGGAAAGACTTGGCCCTCCAGATGTTGCCATATTAACAAAGTGTGCCCCTTGCCCTGAGCCCAGTTCAAGTAAAACAATAGAAATACTAAACTAACTGACCAATCAGGTCGTTTCTGCCCCTCCCCCCACCAACAAAAGTCCTGCCCCCCCCCAACAAAAATCCTGGCTATGGCCATGGCCCAGTGGCTTGCCTATGTTGGGTTGAGTGACCATAGCATTTACCTTCTGCTTAGATCGGTATTGAATCAAATGTGGACCTAGTTCAGCCCCACCAACTTGGGCCATATCTGCACACATTTGTGAATTGTTTGAAGTGATATTCTTTTTCAATACCTTTACCTATTCTGGCTACAAAAAGATTTACAGGAACAATATTGTTTTTCATTTAATTGGTAAAAAGAAAATATCAATTTAATGGTTGTAATTCTCATAACTGAGCAAAGTGCATCCCAGAGAAGATATTAATGCTTTTATTAGTAAAAAATTCCAGATTCCAAATACGCGTGTGCGCACGCACACACACATGACATCTAGCCCAAAGAGAAAATAAATTCTTGTGAGAGAATTTTTCTTATTTTTTTCTTATTACATTAAAATTGCTGACACAAAACCACGGGAATGCTTTAACTAATAAATCATTGAACCAAACATAATTTTTCTTTGTAGGTTTTTGGTTAATTTTGGTAAACAAGACTGGCACATTAGCAAATTTTTAAAACTTCGTGTTTAAGCATTGATTTTTATTGACAATTTTAATGCATAGTTTATATTCTTTGTAAATAGCTTAGGTCTTTTATTTACAATTAACTGATATTCAGATTTAGTTCAATAAATAAATAATTTACTTGGATCAAATACTTAATCTCATCTTATTTGTGAAACACATTTCATTGGTGATTGCTTATGTTGGCTTCATAATCAGCCTTAGTATTTTGGGGTGAAAACTCAGCATAGCATAACTTGTGACTACTTTCTTCCCAAACCCAGATGGGTTGTGTTGTCTGTCCTATTTATAGATATGCATGTTTCTTTGTTACTTTCATCTTAGGTTACATCACAATTGTATTTATGTCACACAAAACCCCACTTAGTTCAGTTGGACTTCCTTTTAAGTGTGCATAGGATTGCATCCTTAGGTGACCTAGAACTCAATGCTCTGTAAGTTTATATCCGTTCAGTTTCTCAGGTACTTCTATGCATGAAGTGAATATATGATAACTGGGTTAAATAAGGGTCTGCACTGTGATTTTAGAAAGTGGAGCCGTATGCGGCATAAAAGCTAAAAGGGCATGGAGGATATATATATATCTTGAAAACCAGCATAAATTACTGATGACACCAGATTCCTTACAGGTTGATGATAGACAGCATGGAAGACAATTTTGAACTTGAGGAGCTCATGGGAAATTGCATTCATAGGAGAGGCATCTTCTGCCACCTGGGAAATAATAGAACCATTGCAAAGTGATGCCTCCAGCCCCACAAGGATGTTAGGGCCTATGGTATGGAATAGTCACTGAGCAGCTGAGAAGAGTCAACAGATTCTTCCCCTCCCTTTTGCTCAGTGAAGGTCATCAACCAAAGTAGTCTCAGTCTCAAAGGCAGGCCAGAAAGCAAACTGAAATGGAGCCAGAAAATCAGTTCAATCCAAAAGCTTGAATTAAGGTCTATGGAGGATTGCAGAGGCTGCTAGAATGTCCACATACTTAATCTCTCCAGAACTGTCTCTCTCCAGCCCTGTACTTTTGAAATCTGCAGTGCAACGATACATGATTTTAATAAAATTGTTGTAGTTTATCAGTGTCCAACTGCAGATATTTTATCTTAGACAATGTGGAAATAATCAACATTCCCTTCTCCATCAGCACACAGTCGGACAGGATACTACGGAACAACAAGCTGGCAATCCAAGCAGTACTAGCCAGTCAGATAACAGTAAAGACAGCTGGTTTTGCATGATCAGAGTTTATGGTTCCTCAGCAGGCTTGTAGCCACAGCACAGCCTCTCCTTTCTTTACACAAAGCTCATTATCAAGAATGGTATCAAGCACTTGCACTGCAAGTTTAAAACGCGCTCTCAGGAACCAGGGTACACAGCAGAAAATGGAGTTGCTAACAAGATATTTATAGTATGCTAAGCTATGATTTATGTTTTTTAATAAAGAAACAAATAAACGGGGGGGGGGGGACACACAACCTATAACCAAATCCAGTTCAGACATGTTGCAAAAAGGTATCTCATCCAAGCTCTGCAGACTATCCATTTTACAAGCATGACATCATTTGAGCAAGCTCTTATCGCTGAAACTCTGCTTTAAAAATCTAAACTCTTCTACGTGGGCTGGTTTTCACTGCTTTGTTGTGTCCTGAAGGCACAGCGCTGCCATCGTGGAGCTACTAGGATCTTCTGCTGCTTTTAAAAATCATTTCAAAAAGCAATTCTCTGCTTCTGTTGATGTTATTGCTTAGTATTTTTTGTTATAATGTTCTGTGTTACTGGAATTTTAAAAATATCTTATAGATTTTTCTATGTAAACCGATTAGGGATTTCACATATTAAATAGTATATCACAAAGAAATCAATAAATGAAAAGGCTTAGGCATTTTGGGTGGAAATAGTTGTTTCTTGTACAGACATTTCAGAAATAATAAGACCGACTAATTAAACATTCTTTTTCCATTTAAAATGATATGTAACAATTAACGGAAGACATCTGTCTGGAAAGGGTGCTAAAAGGCACAAACATATTTGTTGGGTGGAATTGCATCGTCATATCATGTAAAACCGCAGGACCCCAAGCAAAGAACAGGTTAATGGGCTCAATTCCTCTGTGAAAGTCTTCTGTAGCAGCTCCACACTCAGATAGGACCATAGAGATACTGCAAAACCATGCAGAATCTTTACAGAAATCAGGTTTCAATATGTCTTCACAATCAGAGGGTTTCTGTTTTTGTACAAGGAGTTTTCTAATGCTCAAAGTTTAGAGAAAAGAAAATCCAGAAATCTATGACCCTGGACAGAAGCATATAAGTATTGGTGTGTGTGTGTGTGTTCAGATAGCCACTATTTAATTTCTGTTAGGTTTGTTGATACTTCCATCCTAACCTCCAACCAAGTTCAGAGTGGCATTCTCAGTTCTTTTGCCCCTTCATCCTCACAGCAGTCCTATGAGGGAGGTTAGGAGGAGAGATGGTGGTTGGTTCAGAGGCCCCCGGTGAGTTTCATACATGAGTGGGGATTCGACCCTGGATTTGCAGCCTTCTTTCTCATGCCTTCTGCTCTCCATTCCTGGTCTTTTTGGTGTATTGCTTGCTAACCAAAATTTGAATTTAATATGTATTGGGGAAGATATCTGAATGTTGATTATTTCGGCCAAGTACAGCTGAGTCTTGCACACATTTACTTAGAGTGGCTGGGCAATCCCAGCCAGATGGGCAGGGTATAAATAAATTGTTATTATAAAATTATTATTAAAAGCAAACCATATTTTCTGCCTTGCAACTGACTTCCAAGTAAATGTGCAGAGGCTGCAATCTTACACACACTTAGCTGCGAGTAGGGCTGGGAGGATATGTCAATTTTGGTTTCTAATTTTTCCAGTCTTAAATCCATCCATTTGCACAACATGAAAAAAACAACATGAAATTTATTCAGCATTTGGTGCAAATTTTTCCTAATTAAACACATTTGTGATTTTGCCTAGTATACACATTTTTGCAGGCAGTTTATCCTAATATGCAATCTTGTATGTTATCTTCTTAAATATATTCTTTTTTATAGACATTTCCCCTTAGTATGTGCATTTTTGTAAACATTGCAAAATTAAGATAAATGGAGATTTTGAAGGATGGTTGTGGTTGAGTGGAGCAATTTGAAAAATGGATGAAGAAATCCGCCCCTGCAAGGCTTTGATGAACTGTCTAGACGGTGTTCACGTGGAGGACTTCCCTCCATTAGAGCAGCTCCTAGGAAGGAGCAGGAACAGGTCTCATTGGGAGTAAAGAGGAATGGCTGGGGGAAAAGCCACCTTCTTCCCCCAGTTTCTGTCCCACTGTCATGGATTGGCTGGATGCAGATGAGTGGTGGGAGGCACCAGCAAGGGAACCCCCCAAGGGAAGAAGGCTCAAAGCCAGTGTTCAGTGAGCAAGAAGAGGTAGTGACAGAGAGCAGTCCAGAATCAGAGGTAGAAGCGGAGGCTGGAGAGGAGGTGGACCAAGAGGTGGGAGGCAGGGTGCTGAAGAATCCAGGGGCTCTTCCCCTCCTGCTGAGACCAGCTCTCCTCCCCATTGGTCTCCCAGAACCCACAGAAATATGAAGAGGGCAGAGAAAAGACAGGCAAGATGAAGGACCCTGGGACAGGAGGAGACTTAGATAACTGTGGGAAGGTGGGGGCTGGGAGTTCTCGCAATTGCCTCATTAGGGCAAGATCTACTGGGGAGAGTTGCTGTGCTGTTTTATTTGAATAAATAGTTGAGTTCACTGACACCTTGTGAGTTATTGCTGACCTGCCCCCGGCACCTGCCCTGACACCCAAAAGGCAGACAGGCAGAGCATGCAAGCCTGTGGAATGCTCCCAATTGCCACCCATGGTTTGATGACAGCCTGTCTTGACAGGTTGTAAACCAGTGATGGGGAACCTGTGGCCCTTTAGATATTGCTGGACCACCATGCCCATAATCCCTGACCATTTATCATGCCGGTTGGAGCAGCTGGCAGCTGGGAGTCAAACAACATCTGGAAGAACACAGGTTCCCCATTGCTCTTACAACAGTGAAAGATGTCAGTGATTGCAGAAGGGTCACACTTAGTGGACAGAAGCAATATTTGTAATCATATCATGCCAAGTTCATCCCAAACTGCTCAAGCAGCATTTCCCCACTGCCAGATGCCAGGTTAGGTAAGAAGCCACATTGCAGATTTATAAGAACAACAGAACCTCCTTACCACCCTCTGTCGCTGATGATAATTACTCCTAAAATTGGATTGGATACATGTAGGAAATGGGTGTTAAAGGCTGATATAGCTCTCTATCTTACCTAACCTGCCTCCAGTTCATTTTTAATCATTTTGATATTTCCCATTGTGTCTTCCTATAAATGTTCTTCATACATTCCCCAGTTTTAATAGGCATAAATCACTGAGCATATTGACCTCTGTGTTCTGGAAGGAATAGGAAATTATCTAGCCAAACTTCAAGCATCTAGAGGACAATCTTACACTCTAGTAGGCTAACAGTAAATCAAATAAAATCATTCCGGCTGTGGAATACGTGCTGTTCTTAAAGTGAAAAGGTTTACTTTAAAGAACATTGAACAAATCGTTGCTGGTTTTACTCTCTACATTGGCACTGCTAGAATATCTGCCTTACCTCTTTCTGTTCCTGGGAGTAGTAGATTTGTTTGTGTACTTTTCACACATCACAAAATAGGTGCAAGATAAGGGCTCACAGGGTTACATGTAAAAGGACAGAAATTAGGCAACAGTATTTCCTGCTAAAGTTTCAGGTAGAACCATAAGTCACACTGACACTTCACGTGGCTGGTCTACCTTTTTTGAGGAGTTGATTTTGACAAGTTCGCCTCTTCTTCAAGATAAAGGGATTGCATAGGTTGTTGTTTGGGTTTATAACATGTGAAGCAATATTATTAGCAAACGGAGAGCTATTTTCTCTGAGAAAAATATTGCAGTAATTTGCAGGAAGTTCCAAAACAGCTGTTGTCACTGAACACCATTATATCTACAACAATTCTAATTATCTTTGGTAACTTTCAGTATTTGGCATCACTCCATTATTGTTCATTTTAACGGCTTTTTAAGTGGACTAGGACATTTGCCCACGAAGTGCTTGCA